ATGGATGAAATTCATAATAATGACCATTAATATGAAAAACATGAAACATATGAAGGATATTGCTTTTTAAAAAGTAGAGATATATGTATATATTTTAGAGTGATTCCTATTTAAAATGATTAAAATGGAATAAGTTGTATTGCTTAGAGATAAGCTTTGATTGTCTGGATAATACATTTCTGTGGACATCTCACTTCTTTTCCAATAATGTAGGGTGAGACATATCAAAATATCACAAAAGCAAGGAACTAATAAATTGATGTATAATATATGGTTCATCAGAATAAATGTAGTGCATTTAAAGGTCACTATCAATTCCTTTATTTTCTAGATTATGTTCTTTTAAAGTTCCCTTTTCTCCTGCACCTGAGTATACTATAAAGTCATGGACTTTTCCTTTCAGAACGTCCAGCTCATTTTGCATCTTTAATATGCTGTTGTCGTACTGAAGTCCTTCCAGAGTTTTCTGCATTTCCATGATCTCAGATACTGCTTTCAGCATATCATCTTCCATATTAAACATCTGGAGAGTTAAATCTTCCATTTTCTTTTCTGTCCCCATCAGATCCTGAGAGACTCTGAGAACAGAGCGAACTGCACTCTCAATGGTTGGCAAATGTGTCTTGCATTCCTCAACTTTGGGTTCGTAGTTGGAAAGCTTATTAGTCAGGTCTTCATCTCTGGCCAGGAGAGCATGCTGTTCCTCTTCTAACTTTTCAACCGCTTTTGCATCAGAGCCCAGCTGCTCCTCAACGCGCAGAAGATCCTCTTCTTCTTGTCTCTTCACCGTTCTGATATTTCTGAGTGTGCTGTCTTCCAGGTCTTTTAGCCTTTCCGTGAGCAACCGGATGCCTTGTTCAGCTGAGTTAATCTGAACAGTCACTTGCGAATGCATATGCTTTGATTCTGATTTGAAAGTGTCTGTATGAGCATTCATTTCTTCCAGGCTTCTCTCCCAGAAATTTGTGACATTTTGGAGTTTCTCTTTAAGGCTCTGCATCTTTTGAGCGAGCATCTCTTCACTAATTTGAATGTCATGCATGATATGCTGGAGGCTGGATACTTCCTGCTCAACCTGGGTCACCAAAGACATGGATGATGTAGCTTCTTGCAGGATACTTTCAGTTGACTCAAGCTGCATTTATAACACAAAACAATTCCCAAGGCTACTTAATAACTTTTATATTAGGGAAACATACTTTAACAGTTCAATGTGCCAATTTCAAATTCTAAAGATGTCTAAAATACTAAGTAGATCAGAGCCATACTGGCAAAAACATTTATTAATTTAATGTTGCTTTAATGTATTTGAATTTAATAAATTAGCACTATGGCAGAGAAATATACCTGAACTTACAATCCTAAATATTCGCACATTTTCATGGAGGAATATTCAACTGAAAGATAATGCTAAAGGGAGCCTGAAGTATAGCACTTTTTCTTTTTTTTTTTTCTCCAATGGAAAACAACATTGTTATTTCTATGGTTATTTGGATTTTTAAAGAAATTCTAAGTTAGTTATAAAATTTGTTCACTTTTCTAAATCCAATGATTCTGGAAGAGTTTCTGCCTGAAAAAAAAAAATAAAAATTGGTTGACCAACTTCTGTGGAGAAGGTACCAGAATCAGATCTTATAAATATCACAAAGGCAAAATGAAGAAAAAACCAGTTTAGTGAGGCAACTATGTCAATAGTAAAGTGCCCTAAATATCTGTAAATTATGGTAAAGCTCCTGGCATGTCCTCATATGTGTCCAGAACATAGATAGACCAGGTTGTTTGCCTTAGTCTACACTCACAAAGATAGCATTCACAGGAAGGACTAGAAATGAATATTAATTTATCAAATGTTTGCAGCCTTGTATTGAAGACTTAATACTGTTCAAGACACAGTTCTGCCCTTAAGCAGCTTAGTGTAATTGGGGTGAAAGCCAAGTCTATATACTTTATGATAGGAGAAGAACTGTGGAAGCACTTACATGGGGCACCCAAATGAGACTTTGATGATCAAGGAAAGTATTCTAGAAGCATTATCTAGTATCTGCTTCTAATTACTTCCTCTCTAAATCATCCTACATACTACAGTAAGATTAAGCTTTTAGAAACTGCTATGTATATCACGGTATAATGTTTCCTAAAATATTGGTACAATATGATGTTTACTAGGATCAAGTCCCAAATTCTATAACCTCTCTTTATGCTTGTCTTCCCTCCTCTTTGCTTATGAGTTCTGTCCTTTCTTCAAAGCTCAGCTCTTCAGTGCAGCATTCTCCTATATCCCTTGTCTGACAGCCTGAACCTCTGTACAGCAGCACATACTGTATTATGTATTTGCCACCTACTTGGCACTAAGCCCATATGATTCAAGAATTTTTGAGTGTTCACTCTGTGCCAGACACGGGACATAAAATTATATAGTATAGTTCCTGGCAGGGGAGAGAGAGTTTTGGATCGTTTATGCCATATATTCTAGAGTTCCAATAAGATTTATTGAGTGTCCTCTGTTCCATTGTTATATAGAGATATAGGGATATAGAGATATAAGACACTGTGATTAGCTTAAAAGTCAGTAAAGGAGTCAATTAACAACAACAAAATCACAATAGATTATGATTTGTATTATGACAGAATTAGCACAGGAGAATGGATGCTTAAGGAGAGGTTAGAAGTCTGGATCTCAATGAAGAAAGGCTTAGGAAGTGATTTGGAGATTGGACTGATGAATGAGACAGTGAAGATAGGACAGCTTCTAAATTCCTTAGGCAATAATGTACACCTTGTACATTTTTGTAGTCCCTGTATCTCGAGGTATAAAGAACATGTTTGCTGATAATTAGGAAGAAGATTGGTGCCCAGAACGTCGACCTATGAACCAAGAGGTCACAATTTGATTCCCATTCAGGGCACATGCCCAGGTTGCGGGCTCGATACTCAGTGGAAGGCGTGCAGGAGGCAGCTGATGGATGATTCTCTGTCATCATTGATGCTTCTGTCTCTCTCTCCCTCTCTGAAATCAATAAAAAATTATTTACAGAAAAAGAAAGAAGAATGGCCATAAACCTTCTGGGCCCACCCCCATCATACATGAAGCAGTTCCAGGTGACAGCGGGGAACAATGTGCAACCCCACTGAATAATATAATAGGACCACTTCGAAACCTTGTTTACAAATTATCTTAAAAGCCAATTTTGAGAAATACTTGTACATTGGTAATACTGCTAGGTTTAGTTGTCTTGTTAGCAGCAATGACCTACCCGGACTGTTCATCAGAGGTGTATATCTCAAGAGTACTCAAAAGTTCAAAAGGATAACAAGGTCTCAAGATTTAATCTGCAAACACATATATAGTGATTAGTATAGCACAACTAGCTATCATTTATGGGCTGACAATATATTTTGATTGGGGCTATCTCACCTAGTCCTGATGGAGGCCGGCCTGCCAGGGAGGGATCCTGGGAGGATTCCAGGTGTGCCCAGCCCATCTTGCCCAGTCCCTGATTGGCCAGACCCCACCAGCAAGTTAACCTACTAGTTGGAGCATCTGCCCCCCTGGTGGTCAGTGCACATCATAGTGACAGGTCAAGTGGTTGACTAATAGGTTGGACACTTAGCACATTAGGCTTTTATATATATGAATATATTTTAATATAAAAAAACTTATTTAAAAAGCATTTTAGCTGGGACTGGTTTGGCTCAATGGATAGAGCGTCGGATTGGGGACTGAAAGGTCCCGGGTTCGATCCTGGTCAAGGGCATGTACCTTGGTTGTGGGCATATCCTCAGTAGGGGGTGTGCAAGAGGCAGTTGATCGATGACTCTCTCTCATCGATGTTTCTAATTCTCTATCTCTCTCTCTCCCTCTCTGTATAAAATCAATAAAATATATTTTTTAAAAAAGCATTTTATTTGCTACCAAATTTTTCATTTAAAAAAGAAATCTTTCTTCAAAATTTGCTTTCCATAGTTTTTAAGCACATTCAGTTTCTGTTTCCTGCCTTTTTTTTTTTTTTCTATCATCTTCCCCCTGATGAGAGGAGCCTCCAATAATTATAACCAGATTCTAACTTGTGTTCTACATCAAAATACCAATTCTTGCATCTTCTTCCCAGAGGCCCCTAAGCTCACATTTGATCCCCTAACATATTCAAGGGAATGTATGATTTTCAACCATGGCTTTTACCTTCTGAGGGAATATATGCCCATTTTGTGCATGAAACTGCAGGAACTTAGACCTCTATTTTTATTACTGTTTATTTTTATAATATTCTTGCTCACCCTGGTGACAGGCACAAGTTCTGTCTACCTTATGACTTAAGTAAAGATTTATCTACCTTATGACTTAAGTAAAGATTTAGCACATGAAGAAATGAACAAACAAGGTATGTTTACCAATGATACCTTGGTCCCCAGAAGCCAGGCAAGGCCCACAGATGCCTCATTGATTACAGTAAACCCTCTCCTGAGAAGTGTAGTAATTAACATTTTAAAAATCTGTTGCACATTTCTAAGAATCACAGAAATAATGCATCTGCATCTGCAGCTTGAAGAAACACAACAAAGACCTGGATTTCAATTTTCATTTGGCTACACAATCAATATTTATTTTTTAGGTTAATCAGTCTTATATGCACACATATATATGTTTACCAGTCAGAAAGTAAAGCATAAAACACCTATGAAACTGCCCAACAAATGCTTTTCCTATTCTAATTTTATATACACTTGATATTTAAATAGAAAACTGAGGCCACCTCAATATGAACATGTTAGTCTTCTCAAACAATAACAGTAGTTGTATTATAAAAAATTATTTATCTTTCAAAATGTAATTTAAGTCTAAATTGGATTGAAGGGAGAATGTAAAGAGGTAGGGAGACTTGTGAGAGTTAAAATAGCATTGTTTAAAAGGCAGGAAAAAAGAATTTATGAACTGGGGTAGAATGATGATAGGAGGAAGGAAAATGGAAAAAATCTTCCCAAATAAGCCAATTAATAATTACCTTTTCTGAAATTAAACTGATTTTACTTTGCAGCCCTTGGAATTCTTTGTTTTCTATTTTCAGTAACTGGTATTGGTTTTCCACATTTGCAAATTTTTCCGATTGTTGAAATACAAACCTGGTAAAGAAAAAAGACACATCACTATCTCACCCATTTAAGTCTGAATTTTAAAGGAGTATTTTATACCCACTACTGGTAAGGATGACAAATTCTGGTATGGGTAGTGGCAGCTATTATTAGTTTATTTCAATAAACATTTAGGTAGGTAGTGGTTTAATGGTCCTACTCATGCAAAGATGAGTGAAACTGCCCCTCTTCACGTTCACAGCTGGCTCAGTGAGCAAGACGGTGTGACAGTTGTAATAAATGTATGCAGAATATTTGAAGGAAGAAATAAGGAATTATTTAGAAAAAAAAATGTGCTCTCCACTATTTTGCCTAGGTTAAAAAAAAAAAGCATTTTAAAATTAAAATGTATAAGAGAAAAAAAAGCAAGCAGTGGAGTGGAAGGAAGAGGACATGATGGTGATTAGAAGTTGCAAAATAACCGAATTCAAAAAGGATGAACATAGGAGTCACTGTTAAAGTGACAATAGAACACAAAAACATATATAATTATTTATATTATAATAAAAAATACATGTCATATTGATGTACTTTGGATGTCCTAAAATTAGAGTGTTTCCCATCTGGCAGATAGTATATGAAAAAGTTATCCCAGTCTTAAAAACTATAAATGGACTGTTGTGTGTTTAGAACTTGAAATGAGCAAGCATAAAGGACATGCTTCAAATCTAGCACCATTCTGGTCCATCTATCATGACTCAATTTTTTGGGATCCGAAAGAGCAGCAGTTGAAATTCTTTGCGTGTGTTTTTTTCTTTTCTTTCTTTCTTTCTTTTTATTTTTTAAATATATTTTATTGATTTTTTACAGAGAGGAAGGGAGAGAGATAGAGAGCTAGAAACGTCGATGAGAGAGGAACATCGACCAGCTGCCTCTTGCACACTCCCTACAGGGATGTGCCTGCAACCAATGTACATGCCCTTGACCAGAATTGAACCTGGGACCTTTCAGTTTGCAGACCGACGCTTTACCACTGAGCCAAACTGGTTTCGGCTCTTTGTGTGTTTGAGGTATCAAAAAGCAGTGAAGGGTTGGGAGGAGGGGGTCAAAAAGGAGAAAATGGGCCATCTGTAATGCTGTCAACAATAAAAAAAGAATAACAGCATGACACAACCGGCCATTTTTCAATCATTATTCTATCATATTAAATTCTTTTTTTAACAAAATAAATCTTGATTGTTTAGATTATTACAATAATCTTCCCCCCATAGCTCCCCTCCACCTGGTTCCCACCCCATAGCTTCCCTCTCTTCCCCCCATAGCTCCCCTCCACCTGGTTCCCACCCCACCCTCTGCCCTTATCTGACCCCCCACTGTCCTTATCCATAGGTGTAATATTTTTGTCCAGTCTCTTCCCACACCCTCACACCCCTTTTCCTCCGGAGAATTGTTAGTTCACTCCTTTTCTATGCCCGATTCTATTATATTCACCAGTTTATTCTGTTCGTCAGATTTTTTATTCACTTGATTTTTAGATTAACTTGTTGATAGATAATGTATTTGCTATTACTTTGTTGTTCATAATTTTTATCTTTACCTTTTTCTTCTTCCTCCTCTTCTTAAAGAATACCCTTCAGCATTTCACATAATACTGGTTTGGTGGTAATGAAATCCTTTAGCTTTTTCTTATCTGTGAAGCTCTTTATCTGATCTTCAATTCTAAATGATAGCTTTTCTGGGTAGAGTAATCTTGGTTGCAGGTTCTTGATATTCATCACTTTGAATATTTCTTGCCACTTCCTTCTGGCCTGCATAGTTTCTGTTGAGAAATCAGCTGACAGTCATATGGGTACTCCTTTGTAGGTAACTGTTTTCCCCTTGCTGCTTCTAATATTCTCTCTTTGACTTTTGCCCTTGGCATTTTAATTATGATGTGTCTTGGTGTGGTCCTCTTTGAATTTCTTTTGTTTGGGGGTTCTGTGTGCTTCCTAGACTTGTAAGTCTATTTCTTTCACCAAGTGGGGTAAGTTTTATGTCATTTTTTCAAATAGGTTTTCAATATCTTGCTCGCTCTCTTCTGGCACCGCCATAATTTGGATGCTGGAGGTGCCCAGATGAGGCCCAGCTGTGAAGTGTTGGTATGTTTGAAGTTGTCCCAGAGGCTCCTTATACTATCTTCATATTTCTGGGTTATTTTTTCTTCTCTCGTTGGGTGTTTGTTTGCTTCTGCATATTTCAAATCTTTTACTTGATTCTTGGGATCTTCTAATTTGCTGTTGGATCTCTGTATATTATTCTTTGTTTCAGTCAGTGTATGCTTAATTTCTAATTTCTTTTTTCATATCCTTGAGGGTTTCACTAAATTTCTCGGAGATTTCTAGAAGATTCTTGAGTAACCTTATAACTGTGGTTTTGAAGTCTATATCCAGTTTGTTTTCCTTCATTTCTGTCATTTGTGACCTGTTTTTTTTTTGTTTCCGCTTTGTTGATAGAGTGGCTTTGTGTGCTAGGTGTCCTACAGGGCCCAGTGGCTCAGCCTTCCTAATTACCTGAGGTGGACACTCTAGGTGCACCCCTTTGTGGGCTGTGTGCACAGTCTTGTTGTAGTTAAGCCTCAATTGCTTTTGGTATCACTGGGGAGAATTGATATCCAGGCCAACTGGCTGTGAGGACCAGTTGTGTCTACAATGGGAGAACTTCTGTGCTGGAGATACCCTTATGGGGAAGGATTTGCTTCAGTGGGGCTTTGGTGCTCACTGAGTCTGCCTCGAGTGTGTCTCTTATGTATGTGAGGAGTTGTAATCTGGATGGTCTTACTATGACCACTGGGTACATTGGCTCTTGGATCTCCAAGGAGGTGAAAAGTCAGCCACTGCCTGAGGCCACTCAGCAGGAGCTACAGAGAGATCTACAGACTTTTCCTCTTTGGGGTTTGGAGGTGCCCAGATGAGGCCCAGCTGTGAAGTGATGCAAGCTGCTGTCAAGCCTTGGGCCTTCTTTTGGAAGCTCTCTGATCCAGATGCAGTTCGTTAGGTTTTAGATTACAAAAGGCCAGGCCATTCATATGTAAAAGCCTCTGCGTACAGCTTGGGTTGGGTTGTAAATTGGGTGGGGCAGGAGTCTCAGGGAATCACTATGGGGGAGCAAACAGCAATGGCTGTCAGCCCTGCCCCTAAGAGGTCCCTGGGTCTCTGTGTCCCACAGCACTGCGCAGGAACAATGATCATTGTGAGCACCTCTGAGAGAAAGCCACCCTCGTGTTCCAGCCCAATGCCAGACAGTTCAGTTTTTCCCCATATGAGTCTGGGTTCCCAGAGTCTCACCCGGAACTGGAGTTCAGAGCAGTTGAGAGCTTGTAACTCCCTCCTGATTGAAAAACACAACAGCATACCCAGTTGGCAGCTCTTTTCACATGTGCCTCTGTACCTGTGCACTTCTGCACCTCTGTACTTCCTTCCAGTCTCAGTGTGCTTTTCTCTATCCTTCTATTTGTATAACTTCCACTCAGCCAGCCTTATCCATGGTTCTGGATGATATCTGTTTTGTCTTTTAGGTGTAGTTTTGATATGGTTGTGCGAGGCAGCAAGTTCAGGTGTTTATCTATGCCGCACCTTCAGTTCTCCCAGACTTTTTAAACAAATGTTTACAATGTCAGATGAAATATATATTTTAAATAAATATTTATTTATTTAAAATATATTTTATTGTTTTTTTTACAGAGAGGAAGGAAGAGGTAGAGTTAGAAACATCGATGAGAAACATTAATCAGCTGCCTCCTGCACACCCTTAATGGAGATGTGACTACAATCAAGGTAGATGCTCTTGACTGGAATCGAACCTGGGACCCTTGAGTCTGCAAGCTGATGCTCTATCCACTAAGCCAAACCAGTTAGGGCTAAAATGAATTTATTTTAGTGATGGATCCCATACATTCTATAACACTGAATATGCTAACATGATCTTTTAAACAAAACTTCTGGTTATTAGAAAACGCCATTATCCTAATTTTTAAAGATGGATATGTAGACTTAATTCTTTTTTGATTGGCTGTTTTGTTCTTGGCTTTTAAGAGGTTCTTTTCATAATATAGGCTTATCGTGGACCAGCAGACCAAGGATAGAGACCATTCTAAAGAAATACATCTAATTTCAAGGACTAGTTTTATCATTCATCACTCCAGTGTTACCTCATAGGTTTATGCTGTACATCAGTGTGTTTATTCAGGATAAACTCATGATAAAAAGGACTTTTTGTGAAGGTTGATCCACTATAATAATACATTAGGATTTTCCATTTTATTAAATATTTTTAAATGTTTATCTCTGCACTTCTCTTCAATATTAAGCAAAAGCTTGAAGAAAACTGCCATGCTAGTGGAAATATTATTTCTGATGACAATTTGTAGGTTTTTTTTTTTTTTTCATGGTTAGCTGCTCACCAAAATAAAAAAAGAGGTAAGATTCATCATTGCTACATACGAGTGGTGCAAGCATAAAGTTGACTTATGGTTAGTAATGAAAAAATGAAAAGTGGTTTGTTTGCTAGAGTATTTGCCAGATACTATTCTAAGTGCTTTATAAATATGATATTAACTCTTGAACATTAAGATGATGACTTTTTAGAAGTCAAAACTGTATGCTTACAGAAGGTGACTTTAATTCTGAAAAACTAATTTTAAAAATAGGCTTTTTAACAGGAGCAGTTCAAAGTCTTTTTACACCCATCTTTCCTAGTTTAGATGAGATAAACAATTAGGGTCTGATTAGGGTTACAGCTTGTAATTGAAGAAAAAGAAAAAAAGAATTATAAGTAGCTCTGGAATAAAGATTTCTATCTCTAGGGCCTTCACTATTTATTTATTTAAAAATATATTTTATTGATTTTTTTACAGAGAGGAAGAGAGAGGGATAGAGAGAAACACTGATCAGCCAGAAGGGGATGTGCTCACAACCAAGGTACATGCCCTTGACTGGAAACGAACCTGGGACCCTTCAGTCTGCAGGCCAACACTCTATCCACTGAGCCAAACCGGTTAGGGCCCTTGCTCTTAATAATACTGGGTGAGTGTGGAGTTGGGCAACTTTGGCTCTGCCATTTACTAGCTATGTAACCTCTCTGGGCAAGCTACTGTAGTTATCTTGGCTAGTTTCCTCATCTGTCAAGAGGGGATACTACTACTGAGTTCATAGGGTTGTACAGATTAAATAGGTTCTTAGCTCCTAGACCAGTGGTTGGCAAACTCATTAGTCAACAGAGTGGCAAACTGCAGCTTGCGAGCTGGTTTGCTGACCACTGTCCTAGACAGTGCCTAGAGTGTAACACCTCAGCTGTTCTCTCGTACCCTTGCCTTTTCTTTTGGACTGCATTGTGTAGCTGTTTTGCCATCCTTCTGAGAAGCCTAGAGTGGGTGATAGAAACCCCAGGCTTGTCTCCCTTTGAAACCAGGGTAGGGTTTATGGCAAATGAAGGATGCAATGAATTGGATGAGACCTCAAACAGGAAAGAGAATAGCTCTTATTCTGTTTTGGGCCTCTTCTCCTTATCATATAGTCCAGCTAGTATGGCTCAGTGGTTGAACATCGACCCATGTACCAGGATGCTGCTGGTTCGATTCCTGATCAGGGCACATTCCTGGGTTGCAGGCTCACTCTGGGGGGGGGTGGGGGTGGGGGGGAGGAGGGAGGCCTGCAGGAGGCAGCCAATCAATGCTGATTATTGCCTCTGCATAGCACCTTTAAGACTTTGATGGTGGCAGACAGCTGATTAAGGACTAATATGTTATAGGAATTTCCCTGGCTGTTTCAACGTAATGAGAAAGAGGCAAATAACCAAAGGCAGCTGTTGTTATCGACCTTCTGCAAGAAATGAAGTTCCAGGCTACTGCTAGGGCCAGTATCCCCTTAGTCCTATTCATTTTTAGCATAATACTGAATGGTCAGAAAAACATTGATTATATTCCATTAAAAATTTTTTTTTATTGATTTCAGAGAGGAAGGGAGAGGGAGAGAGATAGAAACATCAATGATAAGAGAGAATCATTGATTGGATGCCTCTTGCATGTCCACACTGGGAATCAAGCCCACAACCCATGCATGTGCCCTAACCAAGAATCAAACCCTGACCTCCAGGTTCATAGGTCGATGCTCAACCATTGAGCCAGACCAGCGGGGCAAGAATAAACTATCTTTTAGATAACTTCACTAACAACAGAAAGCTGAAAAATGGTGTTAGCCATGATTTTGCTGTATATGACTTATAGTGTGTTAGATGATAGACAAACAAAACAAAACAAAACAAAACAAAAAAACAGCTGGTTGTTTAAAGAGCTTTTGACTTCTTATCACAAATGTGTTTAAAAATTTTTATAAAGAAAATTTAGAAATCTGTTGAAACTTCCAAGAACACTTTTTTTTTTTTACACTGGAACTTCCGATTTTTATTTTTATTAAAAAATATTTTATTGATTTTTTACAGAGAGAAAGAGAGAGGGATAGAGTCAGAAACATCAATGAGAGAGAAACATTCATTAGCTGCTAGCTGCCTCCTGCACATCCCCCATGGGGGCACATCCCCATTTGGGGGACACGCCTGCAACCAAGGCACACTCCCCTGATGGGAATTGAACCTGGGACCTTTCAGTCCGCAGACCGGTGTTGCTCTACCACTGAGCCAAACCGGTTTCGGCTCTTCAAAACTTTCTTAAGAGTTTACAAACAGTATGAAGCTAACACTCAAAGCCATCTTGTTTTGAGTAACTGTTATCTCTAACATATTGTTAAACTGACAAGTCAGGACTTCATCGGTTACACTTTATCTATTTACTTCCTAAACAAGAATTCCAAGCCTAAAGGCCAGAATACACTGAAGTAGAGAAGTCTTGAAATCCTCCTAAAGCAGTAGGGGTTTAAACTTTCCCTCTCAATGTAATCTCAGTGTAAGAGGATGGGTCAACTGTATCGACAGACATTCATATTCAGTGTTGTATTTTAACAATCAGGACAGTGTCAGTACAATAAGCATTAAATAGCTGACAAACAGACCGGTAGATGCTAAAGCATGTATTCTAGAGTTAAAAAATCTCAATGGCTTTGTTGTAAGTCTAGTATTTTGCAATGCCAAATGTTTATTTGGAAAATACTTACAAATATCTTGACAGAATAATTTTTTATTCCTGAAATTACCATGAATAAATATTTGCTATAAACAGTGACTGCAGTATTTCTACTTCCAACTCTTGTGGCAAGAGATTTCACAAGAGTAATTAACAGTCAACTATTTTAATAACTATCATAAAATCTGCCTGTTTAAGAAAAAAGCTTTAGATACTGTTTTATCATTTTGCAAAGACAGTTAAAAACCTTCCTACTGAATGTAATTTCTTTGGGTCTTTATTTTTTCTTTATTTTTATTTTTTAAAAATATATATTTTATTGATATTTTACAGAGAGGAGGAAGGGAGAGAGATAGAGAGCTAGAAATGTCCATGAGAGAGAAACATCGACCAGCTGCCTCCTGCACACAACCCCACCGGGGATGTGCCCGCAACCAATGTACATGCCCTTGACCGGAATTGAACCTGGGACCTTGCAGTCCACAGACTGGACGCTCTACCACTGAGCCAAACCGGTTTCGGCTTCTTTGGGTCTTTAATGTAGGCACTAACAAATTCTGTGGAAAGTAATCTCACAGGGTAATTTGATCATATATTCCTAACTGGGCAGGTCATTGCGGGTAGTCACATCCCAGGAATATAACTTTTTTAGTAAAGGTGCCTTTGCCTTAAGCAAGCCCTGTCCATTGTTAGCACACATTTGAAATAAATTATAATAACCTCCCTTAAGAGAATCAATCTTGTTAAATATCCTGTAATCAAATCCCCAGCTTGCTTTTCCCCACATTTATATATTCTTCCTTAAATTCTCTCCTTAATTTCAAAGGCATAAAAGAAACTGCAAAACTGTTACTCTCTGGGGCATTTTAGATCTTGCTTTCCAGCAATTGTCACCAGTTCTGGCTCAAATAAGCTATTAATAAAAATTCTCTAGTTTTGGACATTTCTTATGCCAACAGATTATTATTAGTGTTTTTCCCCTGGAACATGAACTAAATTTTTGAAAAAGTGAACAATTTGTGATATAATTTAGCTTCCATGAACATGTATCTTCAGATAAATAAATCCAGTAAGTAAATCCAGTTGTATCAGGTTCCAGAGAAAAACAACATATATCTTTGAGCTAACTAAATTCTATTATTGAATAACCTTCCCAATACAAAAAGGGTTTAACTTATCTACTAAAGAAGGCCATGCATTTTAGATATGAGCAGTTTTCAAAACAGTAAATTCAGTACATTTATTACTTGATCAAAAAAATATTCCATAAAAATAACATTAGTAAAATGACAATATATCAAGGGAACATTTAATAATCAACATTTCACATTACTGTGAAAATCTTTTATTAAGTTTGACTTAGGATGAGTCACCACTAAAGTACAATTCAAAACTTACTAGCATGAAAAATGTTCTAGACTACAGGATGTCCAGGCCCCATTCTAGAATTTGATTACTTTTGAAGATGAATAGCTAACTTCAAAATACCTTTAAAATCAATGAAAAATGGAGGGAAAGTCTAATGTAAAGTGTATCTTGTCACCAGTACTACATATTTTTGTAGCTTTCCAGTACCAAAATTCGATCTGCAGCTTAGGAATAAACTTTAAATTCAAAACGCACGCACACTGATTAGAAGATGAGAAATCTTCCAAACTTAGAGACATAATCATGAACATTTGTTGCTTTGAGATCATATGAATTCCTTAAGGATTGCAAACGTGGCCATTAGGCATTTATAATAGGGCGGGGCAAATCTGTCCCGGACAAATACATAGAGGAATGGATGGAATAACGTGTTTATAAAAAAAAACAGTAAAGCTTCTAAAGTGTAGCAGGCACTGAATAAAAGTTTGGCCGGATCTGTTCTCTCTTAAGAAATGGCTGACTCGTTCCAAACTTTCCCCTCCACTGCAGTGGAGCGATCGGGACAGGATCCTAGTGCAAAGTTTAAAATGAGTTAGTTATAGGGGAAAAGCGAAAGAAAGAAGTTGGGCTGTCCCTTGTCTGAGGTCGAGGCAGAGGAAACGGAAGCCGCAAAACGGGGGGGTTTGGAGATGTGTTTAGAGACGTGAGGATGCCCAGCCGGGTGGGGCCAGGGCGGGATTCCCACAGGAGCGGGGCACCCGAGCCCCTGGAGGCCGGACTTGGGGCCCGTGGGCCTCGCGTCCACTTACCAGGCCAGGCCCAGGCTCACGCCCAGCGACAGCAGGCTCACGCCGGTCCGGGGGTCCGCCCAGCCCCCGCTTCCACCGGCCCGCGCCTCGGCGCTCTTCCCGCCCTCGCTCCGCTTCCCGGGATCCGCGGGCGCGCCCTTGGGCCCCGACTTCTTCCGGCTCTTCACTTCGGACATGTCTGGAGGCCCCGAGGACAGCTAACTCCGGGGGGCGGCCCTACACACAGAGGGACGTGGCCGCCTCAGCCTCCGCGGGAAGCCACGGCGGTGACCGCGCCCCCTCCCAGGCTTGGCCCCGCCCACTATCCAGGCCCCGCCCACAATCCAGGCCCCGCCCTCTCCCGGCCATCCTCGCTGCTTCGCGGCTTCCTCAGCATTCAATGCTAGTTCCTCCAGCTGAGTCAGGCGGCGACCCCGCTGCGGGCTTCCTCAGCATTCGATGCTGCCATCCCCAGGAAATCGTAGATTCCGGGAGCTGGAGGGGCCGCGGGGACGCCGGAGGCGGGGCGGGGCAGTGCGCGCCAAGTCCAGCGCGCCGCCGCCTGGGCCCGCCCCTCACGGGAACGCGGCGCGCCCCCGCCGCAGAGCCACGCCCCCCGCCGCAGAGCCACGCCCCCTCCATGGGGCGGGGCGCAGGCGCTTTCTCCTGCGTGCGCGGGCGGAAGCGGGAGCGGGAGCGCGCACGCGCGGGCTGAAGCGGAAGCGGGAGCGCGCGCGGCGGCGCCCGCTCGCCTTGGGGCTGGGCCTGGGGTGTGTTTATTTGCATGCGCGGGCGCGCGCCGTGCGGCTGGGCGGGCTCCGCGGGTTTTGACTGCTCCGCGGTCCCAAGGTAAAGAGGCGGCAGCCAGTGGACGCGGATGCCCCGTTCCTGCACCGGAGAGGTGAGGGAGCCGAAGGTGAGGGGGCCGTCCGGGCCGTCAGCTCCCCGCGAGGACTTGAAGTAGCAGGGGCAGCGTCCAGAGTGGCACTGGGCGGGGTCCCCCCGGGCGCAGCTGCCGTCCGAGGGAGGGCAGGAGCGACCGTGGCCCTCCTTTCTTTGTGTCCGGGGTGGGTCCACCGACGGGGCGGGCCTAGGGCCGGGCCTCCTCTCGCGCCCCGGGTCGGTGTTACCTGCCTGGGGAGGAGGCGCCCGCATCTCCGCCGGCCGGAGGTCCCCGGAGGCGTTCGGCGCCCGGGGCTGCGGAAGCCCAGGTGAGGCACCTGGCGGACCCGGACTTGTCCGGGCCTCGCTCCGGTCCTGCTTTCCCTTTCGGAAGTCCCGGTTACGGACAATACCCGGCCCCCCTAAATTTGGTTTTCAACTCTGTCCCCGCAGGGCTGCTCTCCCCAATAAGATCTTGGGGGGGAAGGTTTGGGTAAGTTTGCGCCTCGCTTTTCTCCCCAAGCCGGCTCTTTGGAGGCTCAGTACCCATTTCAGAAACTCAGAATTCTGGGGCAAGGTACTTTGTCTACCAGGAAGAAAAATTATCTAAAGAGGAAGTAGTCAACCTTTAACGGGTGTCCTGAGGTGAAATTGCCCTCCTTTAGGAAGAATAAGAGGTTTTACATCTATGAAGACTTTTTTGACTTTTCGTTTTGATGTGGCTGCAAAAGGTGGGGTACTGAGAATTGACTCGGGATATTTCAATTTGTGCACTTTAAATTTTACTTATTACTTTTTGATAGATTTTTATTGATTTCAGAGAAGAAGGGAGAAGGAGAAAGAGAGGGGGAGAGAGAGAGAGAGAGAGAGAGAGAGAGAAACAGCAATGATGAGAGAATCATTGATCGGCTGCCTCCTGCACGCCCCCAACCGGGGATCAAGCCCCCAACCCGGGTATGTGCCCTTGACTGGAATCGAACCTGGGACCCTTCAGTTCGCGGGCTGATGCTCTATCCACTGAGCCAAACCAGCTAGGGCTAAATTTTATTTTTACTAAGTCTCTAGGTAATTAGAAATTAGTTGGAAATTAGTTTCAGATTGTCAGAATGTCTATTTGCTAGACCAGTGGTTGGCAAACTGCGGCTCGAGAGCCACATGCAGCTCTTTGGCCCCTTGTGTGTGGCTCTTCCACAAACTACCACGGCCTGGGTGAGTCTATTTTGAAGAAGTGGTGTTAGAAGAAGTTTAAGTTTAAAAAATTTGGCTCTCAAAAGAAATTTTAATCGTTGTACTGTTGATATTTGTTTCTGTTGACTAATGAGTTTCCCGACCACTGGGCTAGGCAGTTGGACATAATTTTTAAAAAAAATATATATTTTATTGATTTTTTACAGAGAGGAAGGGAGAGGAAAGAGATAGAGAGCTAGAAACATCAATGGAAGAGAGACATCAACCAGCTGCCTCTTGCACACCCCATACCAGGGATGTGCCCGCAACTAATGTACATGCCCTTGACCGGAATCAAACCTGGGACCTTGCAGTCCACAGACTGACGCTCTATCCACTGAGCCAAACCGGTTTTGGCGTGGACATAATTTTAAAAATTCATTTTTGTTTTGTCACATCGAGTTTTGTTGCTTACAATTAAGGGATGTTTTATGTTTAAATTGAGATCATAAAAACATTGTTAACATTTAAGAAATCTGAAAGCCGTGATTCTAATCATAACTTTTTCTTTAGCAATTTCATTCCAGGCCTGGACATTTTATGAATCTTGACAAGCATAGGCAAATGTTCTGCTTCCCTATATTTACAAGTGCCACACTTGGTGGCCCATTAAAAACATGGTAACTAGAGGCTCGATGCATGAAATTTGTGCAAGAGTAAGCCTTCCTTCCCCTGGCTGCCGGCACCCCCTTCCCTGTGGCACCTGGGACTGGACTGGCTTCCCTCTCTTGGGACCTGGGCTTCCCTTGCAGAGGGAAGTCCGTCCACCTGCCACAGCCTGCTGGTCAGTGGCCTGGGTCTCCCTCTGTGGGGCCCGACTAATTGCATTGCACCCACCTTGGCTGGCCTGGCACCTGTGGGTGTCACAGTGTCTGGGATGGGCGTCCGGATGGATGGTTGTCCAGATGGATGGGCGTCCAGATGGTTGTTCCGCTATTAGCTGTTTGGTCGATTTGCATACTATGCTTTTATTATATAGGATAGGATAATTGAAGCTTATTGGTTAGTGCTCCTGCTACTTGTGTTTATCTCTGTTTTTGCTCTTAGACATAACATTCTAATTATCTCTTTACTTTTAATTCCCAATAGATTGTGAACTTCATCAGGGATATGATTTAACCTTCTCTGTAAATGTAGGGCTTGGCACAAGAAGAGGCTCAAATGTTTATTGAATGAATAAATTAATATACATATTTAGACACTCACTAATACATTGAATGGTGTTCTGTTACTGTTATAAAACTTGCATACATTCTGATCTGGGTTTTATACCCATGGAATAGTTTGCATTATATTTGAAATAAAGTAGGTAGAAACTTAAGTAAAGAATGTTATTCTTTGTGGTCTCCTGATCCAAGAAATGACATCAGAGTGTATTTCCTGTTGCTTGGTCATACTTAGCAGCTCAGCAGAAACATCAGTGGAGTGAGCATATGAGAACTGTGTTTATCGTTGAAGACAGAGCTGACATACACATTGTGTGAGAATTATTATGCAATACTAATAATTAATGTTCTAATTAGTCTTATGTTGAATAAATAAAACAAAAGGGTTTTATTTTATTGTTAAGTATATTTTTATTGATTTCAGAGAGGAAGGGAGAGGGAGAGATGGAAACATCAATGATGAGAGAGAATCATTGATTGGCTGTCTCCTGCATACCCCCTACTGGGGATGGAACCCGAAACCCAGGCATATGCCTTGACTGGAATCGAACCCGGGACCCTTCAGTTTGCAGGCCGACTCTCTGTCCACGTACCCAAACCAGCTAGGGCGAAAACAAAAAAGTTTTTAAACAGCTTGGTTGGTTTGGTTCAATTGATAGAGCGTCAGCCTGGGGATGAAGGGTCCTGGGTTTGATTCTGGTCAAGGGCACATGCCTGGGTTGCGGGCTCAATCCCCAGGGTGCGGGGGTGGGGGCGTGGTGGTGTTCTCTCTCTCCCTCTACTTCATCTCTAAAATCAATTTAAAAAAAAAAAAGGTTTTTAAACATGAGGACTTCAGTATGATTATTGTTTATAAAATTTTAACTTAAAAAAGTAAGTTTTTTTATTGTAAAAGTGACAATATGTATTGAAAAAAAATTTAAGACAATATAGACCAGTACAAAAGAAAGATGGGGGGTGGGAGGGTGTAGGAAGAGGAAAGGAGGGAATCCCAAAGTCTTGCTACTTGGAAGTAATCCAGACATTTTGTTGAACAAACTTTGAAACATCTCCCTATATATTAAGTGATACATATTTTGTGTTGTACATGGGATCATATTTCTAACACATATTTTGTGCTGTACATGGGATCATATTTCTAATTTTTTCAACCAGCAATGTGTTATTAGCAAACTTTCCATGTCAGTACATGGAGCTGTGTTTTATTTTAAATTGGTATGTATGTCATATACATATCCTAATTTTTAAAATCCATACTCAGTTTGGTGGGCATTTTGGTTGTTTTCATCTTTTCTTAGTTGAGCACTCTCTGTTAACTCTTTTTGTGGATATTTTTGCGTACATATATGAATGTCTCCTTGGGATAAATTCTGAGAAGTGACATATCTGGGTTAAAGAGAATGCTTACATTAGCCGAAACCGGTTTGGCTCAGTAGATAGAGCGTCGGCCTGCGGACTAAAGGGTCCCGGGTTTGATTCCGGTCAAGGGCATGTACCTCGGTTGTGGGCACATCCCCAGTGGGGGGTGTGTAGGAGGCAGCTGATCGATGTTTCTCTCTATATCTCTCCCTTCCTCTCTGTAAAAAATCAATAAACTATATATATATATATATATATATATATATATATATATAAAAGAATGCTTACTTTTGAATCCTAGTCCTAGATTGCCTTCCAGGAGAGTTGCATTCATTTTGTGCTCACCTAATGTAATGCATAAGAATACTAATTTTCTCACATACTTGAAAGCATTGGATTTTGTCCATTTAAAAAAATCTTCGCAAAAAATAAAATCTTATTTTCTTTAAATATTTTGATTACCAGTGAAGTTACACATCTTTCATATATTTATTGCCCTGACATATATTTTGATGTTTGCCTGTAGCTCATGGTTAACAGCTCAGAAAGAGAAAAATTTGAGGGAGAATGGATGCAAAAGCTCGAAATTGTTTGCTTCAGCATAGAGAAGCCCTGGAAAAGGACATCAAGACATCCTACATAATGGATCACATGATTAGTGATGGAGTTTTAACACCGTCGGAGGAGGAAAAAGTAAAAAATGAGGTAAAGCCCTCTGAGGCAGTCTATACTTTAAAATTAGATTTTATATGCATATATGCATAATCCATGAACACATACAATAGTGTTGTGAAGGCTTGGGGGGAGGTAAAAATAAAGTGGAGGGGTTTAATGGGGGAAAAAGGGGGACATATGTAATACTTTTCAGCCATACAGATAAGTTTTTAAAAATTAGAAAAAGTTTTAGAATTTATTTCAGAACTTGCACTGTTCTCCAAGGATTTGTTGCAAACATATTCTTTATAGTACACTAAACTACTCTTTTTTTTTTTTTTTTAGCCCACTCAACAGCATCGAGCAGCTATGCTAATTAAAATGATACTTAAAAAAGATAATTATTCCTACATATCATTCTACAATGCTTTACTACATGAAGGATATAAAGATCTCGCTGTCCTTCTCCACGGTGGCCTTCCTGTCATCTCTTCTTCTAATGGCAAAGATTCAGTTGGTGGAATAACCTCTTATGGTTTGTATGCATACCACTTGCACCTTCTATCACATTGCTATCACAGTGGCTACATTGCTGCAGTTTTATCTTATTGTAGACGGAGTCTGCTGAAGACACTAATTATAATAGTTCACTGAGAAATGTGTGTGAAAAAATTATTTTCCAACCTAAATATTTTTATTTGCACCTATATTAACTCACATTTTCTTTTTGCTTAGTGAGCTATCTACTACTCTGAGATAAGACAGATATATCCTAATTTTTAGAGACAGTAAGATAATTGATAGGTCTTTAAGTTCTTCTCCAGTTCCGTGCTTTTCAAGTTCATAGGAAAGAATAAGACTTATTAGAAATCTTAAGTTCTTAAAAGGAATTCCATTTTCTTCCCTGCGCACTCTCCTACGCAGTCTAATCTGAGAGAGAGATTGGAGAGTCAGAGAGAAATAGGGTAAGGGCACATATAGATGGAGATTTTCATTGTCTATAGTCATCTTGAATGGTATACGTTTGCTTTTGTTCTGAGAAATCAGAAAGTTGAAATTAATATGCTAGCCACATTTTTTCTCTTGGGAATTCTGAAGTCAAGGCCTCAGCTTTATACTCTCAGGTTGTTATGATATTATTTGAGTAGTCATTTCAAAGTTCTATTCATGCTTGCTTTATTTTGAATTTCAGTAAGAACAGTCCTATGTGAAGGAGGAGTACCACAGAGGCCAGTTGTTTTTGTTACTAGGAAGAAGCTGGTGAATGCAATTCAACAGAAACTCTTCAACCTGAATGGTGAACCGGGATGGGTCACTGTCTATGGAATGGCAGGTTGTGGGAAGACTGTATTAGCTGCAGAAGCTGTTCGTGATCATGTCCTCTTAGAAAGTAAGTTTTGATTACCATGTGTTGCTGGCAAAGCAGATATTCTTCAGGCATCGTATTAGTTTCCTGTTGCTGCTGTAACAAATTACCAAAACTTTGGTTGCTTAAAATAACACAGATTTATTATTTTTACAGTTCTGGAGGTCAGAAGTACAAAATAAATCTCATTGGGATAATATGCAGATTGACCATCACTCCAACACACAATATGGCTGCCCCCATGTGGTCAAAGATCCTGCCCCCATGTGGACACAAGATGGCCACCACAAGATGGCCAGCAGGGGAGGGCAGTTGAAAGAGACCAGGCCTGCAAGTGACGGCAGTTGGAGGCGATCCACCCTGCAGGGGAGGGCAGTTTGGGGTGACCAGGCTTGCAGAGGAGGGAAGTTGGGGGCAAACAGGCTGGCAGGGGAGCAGTTAGACATCATTCAGGCTGACATGGAAATGGTTAGGGGGTGATCAGGCTGGCAGGCTGAAGCAGTTAGGGGCAATCAGGAAGGCAGGCAGGCGAGCAGTTGGGAGCCAGCAGTCCTGGATTGTGAGAAGGATGTCTGACTGCCCGTTTATGCCCAATTCCATTGGACATCCCTCATAGAGTCCCATATTGGAGAGGGTGCAGGCTGGGCTGAGGGACAACCTCCCTCCCTGTTCATTCACCTGTGCATGAATTTTGTGCACCGGGCCTCTAGTATTGTATAAATTACACTGTTGGAATAGAGTTTAAATACTTTATTTAAAGGAAAATATTAGCGACAGTTGCAATTTTCTCCTGTATATTGAGCTTAATTCATAGTCCTCATATGCTCTTGTGAGATTTCAAGTACAGAGGATTGAATTAATCATATTTTTTAGTTTATAGTCTTTTAAAAATATATATATATATTTTTATTGCTTTCAGAGTGGAAGGGAGAGAGAGAGAGAGAGAAATGTTAATGTTGAGAGAGTATCATTAATAGATTGCTTTCTGCATGTTCCCCACTGGGGATTGAGCCTGCAACCCTGGCATTTGCCCTGACAGGGAATTGGAACAGTGACCTACTGGTTCATAGGTAGATGCTCAACCACTGAGCCACATTGGCCGGGTTACTTCAGAGTCTTTATCATATTAGGTCTGTAATTTCTTTCTGTGTGTTTTTCCTTTTAAAAATTTCCCATTCTCATTTCTGTTCCCCTCTTCTAATGGAAAACACACTCCTCCTATGTGTTGCCTCTGCACAACTATTACACTACTTAATTTCTGACACCACATGTGAGTTTTCCACACAGCCAGCAATTCTTCAGCGCCAGCTGGGTATCCTATGATTTAAATTCCATTCTGACCCTGTCTATCTGGAGATAGCGTCTGATCCCACTGGTTAACGGTTCAGTCCCACAAGACTATTTCTCCCCCCTATCCTGCCTTTATATGCTAATCACAATTCCAGATTGTTACCTATGCTTGTGACCAGAGGCTTAGTTTGATAAATTTGCTAGAGCTGCTCACAGAACTCAGGGAAACATTTTACTCACTAGATCACTGGGTTCTTATAAAAGGATATAACTCGGGAACAGCCAGTAGGAAGAGATGCAAAAGGACAAAACATGTGGGAAGGGGTGGAGCTTCCGTGTGCTATTCTCCCTATACCTCCTTGTATCTACAAAGCCAGAAACTTTCTGGAGCTCACCCTTTTGGGTTTTATGTAGGCTTCATTAAGAGTCATGCTTGATTAAATCACTGGTTATTGGGGATTGAACTCATTCTCCAGACCCTCTCCCCCTGAGTTTTTTTGTTTTTTTTTAAATATATTTTATTGATTTTGTACAGAGAGGAAGAGAGAGAGAGAGTTAGAAACATCAACGAGAGAGTCATCGATCAGCTGCCTCTTGCACACCCCCTACTGGGGATATGCCCGCAACCAAGGTACATGCCCTTGACCGGAATCGAACCCGGGACCTTTCAGTCCCCAAGCCGACGCTCTATCCATTGAGCCAAACCGGTTTCGGCTCCCCCTGAGTTTTTAAAGAATGGAAGCTTTTTCCAGAGGCTGCCTACCTATTTGCTTCTGTCCTTCCAAGAGTTCCTTGATGCTATTATATTATTAATTGCTACCAGGATAAACCTTGTGTGGAAAGTAGGATGCGGTTAATTTTCTCTGAATAAAGGCATTTTTTTCTCTGATGAAGTTTCTCTGAGTGAATTACAGAATCATACAAGGCTAAATTGCTCCCTCTTGTGACCACAGTCAAGATGTTTAGATTCTTTCTGAAATGTGGAATTAGTATTTCAATATTTGTCATTTTGTGATGGTAGGAGTTTTTCAGATCAGAAGGTCATTTGACATATATATATATATATATATATATATATATATATATATTTATTTATTGACTTCTTACAGAGAGGAAGGAAGAGATAGAGCATTAGAAACATTGATCAGCTGCCTCCTGCACACACCCCACTGGGGATGTGCCCGCAACCAAGGTACATGCCCTTGACCGGAATCGAACCTGGGATCCTTCAGTCCACAGGCCGACACTATCCACTGAGCCAAACCGGTTTCGGATTGACCTATATTTTTAAAGCTAGTAGTATTTTATTTTTTCTTGCATATGTTTAAAATGACCTCATTTAGCTTTAAATTAGGAGAGAAAGACCTTTGGTGTAACAGGTAGTTAAATTTAAATTGAAAGAGTTTACTAGCTAGCTATATCAAAGAAAGGTTACTTTCTTTGTCTTGTCTTTAATCCTAGGATGATTAATTTTTTTTAAAATAGAAAAAACACAAATTTAAGAATAAAAGAACTATAGTAGCAACAGGCAGTTTAAAACTTGGTTTTAAATATTGCAGTAGTATATATGCAAAGCTAATGGACACAGACAATAGAGTGGTGAAGGCCTGGGGGAGGGTGTGGGTATAGGGTGGAGGGGTCATTTGAAAAACAACAGACAAAGGGGACATCTGTAATACTTTCAACAATAAAGATACATTAAAAATAACTATTACAGTAGTAATATTTTCATTTAAAAAGAAGATAAAATTTTTCCACTTACCTTTCTCCCCTTTCTCCTAAATGCTTCACCTAGGATAGTAATGGTTAACAATTTACAGTAAATTCTTTCAAACTTTTTCCTGTGCATTTACAAATATATACACACCGAACACAGCTATAACACTAGGTGGAGCCAGAAAGTGAAACAGAAATCAGGGATTTACTGCTTTGTAACTGTTGCCTTATTCTAAAGGAAGCATAAAGGAACTCAGGAAGCTGTCAGGAGTAAAGTATAGGACTTGTCCACCTTCTTCTAAGACACTGGCATTGATCATCAAACCAAGCTTCATGAGCCATCTTTACCGCAGCTATCACAGAGTTCTTTGTCTCCTGGTCACTTGACAAATTCAGAGTACATTGCCAAATTCTGATCTTGCCACTGGTATGATCTAAATGCTACTGTTCCCCATATTTTACATTTTTTTTTTTTTATCCATGGGGAACTGATATAGTCTGTGAAGGATTAAGGTTTTTGATCCTTAATAATATCCAAGTAAAAATATATACTTTAAGAAATGCTGTGCTTTAATTGACAATAATGATGATAATAGTTGACAGAACAGTAATAATAATGTCAGCTCTTCTAGAGTGCTTACTAGTTCACAGCTTACTATGTGTAAGGTGCTCTCAGATCTATATCACTAAGAAAGTCTGTTACAGCCCTTTACAGTTAACACAGCAAAATTCACATATTTTATACCATTAATTTCTCAGAGTAACTCTGAGATAGGTAGGGTGAACAGTCTTATTTCAGTATAATGAATGAGACTAAGGTTAAGTGATTTGCCAGAGATTGCATAGCTAGTAAGCATTAGAGCCAGACTTGAACCTAACTTCTTACTTTAAGTCTGTATATGAGAACCAGAGTGAGTGAGTTACCCATGTTCTAGACATCAGTGGTTCTCAGTCAGAGGAGAATTTGCCCTCTCACCCCCCAACTAACATTTGGAAATGTTTGGAGACACTTTTGGTTGTCGTAACTAGGAAGGGGAAATGCTCCTAGCATCTACTTGATAGAATCCATGAGGCTGTTAAAAGTCTTGCAGTGCACCGTACAGTCTTTCACAGCAATGAATTGTCTGGTCCAGAATGTCTAGAGGCCTTAGGTTGAGAAACTGCTGTCCAGTGATGATTGATGGCATTGATAAAGATTGTGAAATTTTGTTTGGTAAGATTTTACTGATAAAAAGCAGCTTTAGCCATAGCTGGATTTGCTCAATGGATAGAGAGAGCATCAAGTTTGATTCCAATCAAGGGCACATGCCCGGGTTGCAAGCTTGATCCCTAGTAGGGGGCATGCAGGAGGCAGCCGATAAGTGATTTTCATCATTGATGTTTCTATCTTTCTCTCCCTCTCCTTTCCTCTCTGAAATAATAAAAAAAAAATCCTCCTATCTAATAAAAGAGTAATTATGCAAATTGACCATCACTCCTACACACTAGATGGCCACCACAAGATGGCCAACAGGGAGAGGGCAGTTGTTGGTGATGAGGCCAGCAGGAGAGGGCAGTTGGGGGGAACCCAGGCCTGCAGGGGTGGGCAGTAGAGGACAACCAGGCCTTCAGGGGAGGTCAGTTGTGGGTGATCAGGCCAGCAGGAGCAGATAGTTGGGAGGGACCCAGGTCTGCAGGGGAGGGCAGTTAGGGGTGACCAGACTGGCAGAGTCAGCAATTGAGGGGGTCCAGACCTGCAGGGAAAGGCAGTTGGGAGGGACCAGGTCTGCAAGAGAGGGCAGTTGGGAGCAATCAGGCCTGCAGAGGAGGGAAGTTGGGGGTCACCGGGCTGGCAGAAGAGGCACTTGTGGGCAGTTGGCGGGGGGCTGGGGACGACAAGGTCTGCAGGGGAGGGAAGTTGGTGGTGATCAGGCTTGCAGGGGATCAGTTAAGCATCCATCAGGCTGGCAGGGGAGTGCTTAGGAGCAGTCAGGCAGGCAAGCAAGCGATTGGGAGCCAGCAGTCTTGGATTGTGAGAGGGATGTCTGACTGTCCTCTTAGGCCCAATCCCATCAGGGGCCTAAATGGGCAGTTGAACATTCCTCGAGGGGTCCCAGATTGGAGAGGGTGGAGGCTGCGCTGAGGGACACCTTCCCACCCCCCCGTGCACTGATTTCGTGTCTAGTATATATAAAACAGATTTACTTCAAACTTAAGTTTCTTTGTATTTTGAACTCTTCTTAGATTCAGGCTACAAAACTCAGAAATACCTACAAGTAAAATTTATACCCTTAATCAAAAGAAGTTGAAGATGTGATGAGATTGAAGATTGAAACAAATCTGCTGCTTATCAGTAACATATTTGAAAAAAGGACTCATGACCAGAGGCCTAAGTTTATTCATCTTTTCCTCAACAGGTTGCTTCCCAGGGGGTGTGCATTGGGTTTCAGTTGGGAAACAAGATAAATCTGGACTTCTGATGAAACTGCAGAATCTTTGTACACGGTTGGATCAGGATGAGAGTTTCTCCCAGAGGCTCCCACTTAATATTGAAGAGGCTAAAGACCGCCTCCGCATTCTGATGCTGCGCAAACACCCAAGGTACAGATGGTCAAGTTTAGTTGGTGTATGAAGTTCCAATGATACTTAATTACTGACATCTTGAGAGCATCAAACCCTTTCCTTGCTGTTTGGTAGAGGATCTAAGAAAGAACCATTGCTTTCCTGCTCTTTTCTCTCTTATGTTAAAAAAAAATTAAAAAAAAAAAGGCTTCCCCTGGCCTAAAACTGCTACTTTTCTTTGTCTTCTGTCTATCTTATCATCTCTTATGTACCATTGTTGGCTCTCAAGAAATATTTCTAAGTAGATGAGTGGTCTTGCTAGAAAATGCAAGCTTGTTACTCTGACCACTGTTTCTAATGGATTAACAAGAGACATAATAAATCTAGAACAAGAGACAGGATAAGTTTAAGCAACTGAGTCAGGAAGGATTTTTTTATTTAATTGGGATCCTTCTGTTGTTGTGTTGAATTAGTTTTTGGGTATGTACTTGGAGTTTATTTGTTTCTTTTAATAATTAATTCAACAAATCCTCTTATATAATAAAGCCTAATATGCTAAGTGTCTGGCTGTTCATTCAGTCAATCAAAATGTAATATGCTAATGATATCTTAAGGATGCTCAACTGCTAGCTATGACGTGCATTGACATCAGGGGGCAGACAGTTGACCAGTTGACCAGTTGCTATGAAGTGCACTGACCACCAGGGGGCAGATGCTCAAACCAGTAGGTTAGCTTGCTGCTGGGGTCTGACCAATCGGGATTGAGTGAAACAGGCCAGACAAGCCCTGGAGCCTTCCCACAGTTTCTCCCTGGCTGGCCAACCTCCTGCGTTCCTCCCTGGCCCTGATCATGCACCCTGATTGTGCACTGATGGGGTCCCTTGGCCTGGCCTGTGCCCTCTCACAACTTGGGACCCCTCGTGGGATGTTGGAGAGCAGATTTTGGCCTGATCCCGCAGGCCAGGCAGAGGGACCCCTCTGATGCATGAATTTGTGCACTGGGCCTCTAGTACCAATATAATTATGTGCTAGGCACTGTTACCAGCTACTTCAGTTTTCACTAAGCCAGAAGGGAGATAGCAGCTTAGTTGCTGTTTGTGTGGAGGGTATAGCCGGAGATTCAGTCAATAGTTTAATTTCTATGATCTAGTGACATTCCTTTCATTTGCTCATTTAAGTAGCACTGAGTGTTGTGCCTGGGTCAGTGCTGCAAGAACAGAGATGAGTAAAGCATTCGTTGGGAGTGTAACAGTAAATTGGGTGAGAATTAAGTGATGGCACGGATTCACTTGATGTACTACATACACTGTCTTATGTAACAGTTGCTGAGTATGGCAGTGATTCGCAAATTGGTAAGCGGATTAATATTAGGGTATCAGATGAGAGGATTAATTTTTGGAAAAAGCTTCTAGATGATTATGATGGCTACTCATTAGAGGGAAGCTTTCTTTTCTCTGGATTTTTCTCCTCCAGTTCCTTCTATTATGTCTCCTTCCCTTTACTAGTCACTGGTATCTATTCTTCTGGAGAAAAAAGAATTGAGACCACTAACCGTTTCCTTTTTTCTTGGTCAGTAACTTCTTCCTTAATCCCATTTTCCTTTGCAAAATGAAAGTGATTTGTGTTTAGGAAAACATTATACTTACTGTCGGATGTATCGGGCATGGCTTATAACGCCAGTCATTTTGTTTTTCTCACAGCATTATTTTGGTTTATGCTTCTGTAATTTTCCAACCTGTGTATGTACTTTTTTTTGTAGTGTTCAGAAGTAGTGTGCCATTCAGATAAGAATGCTGTATGTAATTATGCTATCAGGTTTTAGTTGTATTTTTTCTCATTTGTTCTGGTGAGTTAAAAAAAGTTTTTGGAGAGACCAGTCAGGAATTGACACAGAGGTTCTTTGTCATTATGAACTGATTTCTTGGATGGAAAATACCCACTAGTGAACCAAATGAAAAATAATCTTGCTAGTGTATTCTATTAGGTTGGAACATGTGAAATTGCTGGTTTTGTAGGTAAAAAAAAAAAAGGTTAAAAATCATCATTGTTCTATGATTAATTCTAGTGCTAACCTGAGTCCAGTTGCCATTTGGTTTTGGTGCTTAAAGACTGAATTGGAAACATCCCATTACGTGGATAGTTCTTTTTAGGCACTAGGTTGCTGATTTCTAATACTTACAGCCTTCTTTTTAGAGGTCCCTTAATTTTAATATGTCTTGACAGTGTGAGGAAGGGGCAGGTTCAAATTTTTTTTTCTTTATTTGAATTAATATGTGAGTGGTTTATTTTCGTATGGAAAATAATACAATAATTAATAAATAATAATACAAGAATAGATGTTCTCACAACTGCAAACCTACTTTTGGCCTATCCCCTTATTGTGAAAGGGATATGGCAGTAGTGGCATTCTCTTTTTTAAAAAGAAGCTTAAAATAAATGTCATTAGTGACTCAATACAGTTCTTTTAATTAGGTCTCTGTTGATCTTGGATGATGTTTGGGATCCTTGGGTATTGAAGGCTTTTGACAATCAGTGTCAGATTCTTCTTACAACTAGAGACAAGAGTGTTACAGATTCAGTAATGGGTAAGGATTATTAATTTAGTTTTTACTACCTTTATGTTTTAATTCAATTACATTTCAATATGTGGCACACCAAATTACTTACTATACCTTGTGATTTTGCAGGTCCTAAATATGTAGTCTCTGTGGAGAGTGGCTTAGGAAAAGAAAAAGGACTTGAAATTTTGTCCCTTTTTGTTAATATGAAGAAAGCAGATTTGCCAGAAGAAGCCCATAGTATTATAAAAGAATGTAAAGGTATTTATTTTGTATTTGAGGGGGTTATAGAGATGTTAATTTACCCTGTTGTGTAAATTAAGTTAATGAATATGACAATTTAGCACTGTAACGTCCATAAACTTGACTAGAATATTTGGTATTTTAGATTCTTCTCTGATACCCTAAATGTATAATAACTCTAAATGTCATGATATTTTGGTATTCATTAATTTATTCATTCATTAAAATAATATTAAGTGAACACTTGCAGCATCTATAATTATAAAAGTGTAATATGCTAATTAGACTGGATGAAGCTGGAGCTGGAGGGAAGTGTGGGTCCCGGGTGTCAGAGGGAAGCCCGGATCCTGGTTGCTAGAGGGAGGCCAGTGCTGGCAGCTGGGGGAAGGAAGGCCTACTAGTGCATGAATTTCGTGCATTGGGCTTCTAGTCTTAGCATAAAGACATGATCTCTGCTGTCAAATAACAAAAATATAGTGAGAGCTTAAAATTCTTTTGGTTGGGATTTTATAAAAATAATATTCTAATTTGAAGGTAAAAACTGGTTTTGTCTTCTTGATTTACATTTTTTAATAGTGAAGTTAACTTTTTTACTTACCTATTGAATTTTTGCATTTGAACAAGTTATTCTTGACTAACTTTTCTTTTGTGATATAAGTATTTTTTATTGACTTTTAGGTACTCTATTGAAGCTATTAGCTTTTTATCATGTTCTCCTTCCCCCCAAACCAAAATATTTTCCCTAGTTTTTTGTCTACCTTTTTTTAAAAAAAAATAAAAAATATATTTTAAAAAAAATTAAAAAAATGATTTTGTACAGAGAGGAAGGGGGAGAGATAGAGATTTAGAAACATCGATGAGAGAGAGTCATCAATCAGCTGCCTCTTGCACACCCCCTACTGGGGATATGCCCGCAACCAAGGTACATGCCCTTGACTGGAATCGAACCTGGGACCCTTCAGTCCCCAAGCTGACGCTCTATCCATTGAGCCAAACTGGTTTCAGCTTTTTTTGTCTACCTTTTAATCTCATTTGTAGTCTTTTTCAAATGCAAAACTTTAAACTTAAAAAAAATCCTTATCCAAGGATATGTTTTATGGATTTGAGAGGAAGAGAGAGAGAGAAAGAGAGAGAGAGAGAGAGAGAGAGGAACAAACATTGATTAGTTGCTCTGGCATGCACCCTAACTGGTATGTGCCCTGACTGGGAATCAAACCCATAATCTTTTGGTGTACAAGATGATGCTCCAGCCAATTGAGCCACCCGGAGAAATTTATGTAGTCAGATCTATCAGCATTGAAGATTACTTTTTCCATTGTTGTTAATGCATAGATACTTTCTTATTTTTCTTTTTGCCATTATAATAGATACTTGGTTTGGAGTTAATTGACTTTAAAAAAAAATCTTAAACTTAGAAAAAAGTACTTGATTTTTTATAATTATAAAGCTGATGCATGTTCACTTTGAAACTGTGTGAATCTATAAAGAAAAATAAAAAACTATTAATAATCTGATAATTATTAGTGTAATGAAAGTATTTTTACCAGTCTTTTAGGACATACAATTTTGGAGGGAAAAAAAAAATCAAGACTATGATGTGGTATACATCATATAAAATCTTGTCCTTTTTATATAACAAATCTTGAGGATTTTACAATGCCATTAAATATATTTTGAAAAAAATTTACTAGTGACATATGCTTTTGTTCAGTCATTTCTGTTATTAAGATTTTTCATTATCTTAAGTAATTCTGTGATGAATATGCTTAAATGAAATATTTATTATTTCTAATAACTTCCTTACAACAAATACCTAAAATGAATCTAAGAGTTAAAAATACTTTAAGGCTTTGGATAACATGCAGCAATAAATTGATTCTTAACTTAGTGGTGATTCTGAAATGAGATGGTATTAACACAGTGACTTTTTTTTTTTTTTTTTTTTTTTTTTTTTTTTTTTTTTAGGTTCTCCTCTTGTAGTGTCTTTAATTGGTGCACTTTTACGTGATTTCCCCAAACGTTGGGAGTACTACCTCAGGCAACTTCAGAATAAGCAATTTAAGAGAATAAGGAAATCTTCATCTTATGATTATGAGGCTCTGGATGAAGCCATGTCCATAAGTGTTGACATGCTTAGAGAAGACATCAAAAGTTATTACACAGATCTTTCCATCTTTCAGAAGGATGTTAAGGTGCCTACAAAGGTAATAAAAGGATCAAGAATCTGCATCGCTGGGTATTTATGGCATGCAACCTTGGATGTAGTACCAAGGATATTGTTACAGAGGCTACTGGAAAGATAAGACCCGCATGACAAGAGGTGGTGGGTTGGAAGGTTCAGTCTCCTTCAAGGGCTCGATGTTGAACTGGGATGGATTACCTAATTTTCAGTGGTTCTAGTGAAGCTGGAGAAACAGCCGGCTTCTTTCTCTTTTCTATCTTGAGGAATGGTTGAGCTTCTTATGAAATAGAGATTCTTCTTCAGGGCTTTGAGATGTGATTTTTGTGTGTGTTTATACCATGTCTATAGTTCTGCTCATTGCATTTTGATTCCTAGGTGCTATGTGTTCTCTGGGACATGGAGACTGAAGAGGTTGAAGACATACTACAAGAGTTTGTTAATAAGTCTCTATTATTCTGTGATCGGAATGGCAAATCATTTTGCTACTACTTGCATGATCTTCAAGTAGATTTCCTTACAGAGCAGAACCGCAGCCAGCTTCAGGTACTTGCACCTCTGTATGCTCTTTTTTTAACTTTTTATTTTGAAATATTTTTTTGTTTGTTTTTTATTATTTTTTAAAATAATTCTTTATTGTTGAATATTTTGAAGTAATTTTAGACACAGAAAAGTTACAAAGTAGTACAGAGATTTTGTGCATATACCTTCACCTAGTTCCTCACAAAATTAATACCTTTATGTAACTATAATGTTACTAATTCACAGACTTTGTCTTTTGCCAGCTTTCCCATTAATGTCTTATTTTGTGGTCCAAATCCAATTCAGGATCCCATATTGCATTAAATTGTCATGTTGCCTTAGTTTCTTCACATCTATAAAAATTCCTCAGCTTTATCTTCCATGGTCACTTTTTTTTTTTTTTTTTTTCATGGTCACTTTTGAGGAGTATAGCTAGTTTTTAAAAAAAATTATCTTTACTAATATTGTTGAAAGTATTACAGATGTCTCCCTTTTATCCCCCATTGACATCTCCTGCCACCACTTCTACCTCCTCCCCAAGCCTTCACCATACCTATAGTTATTTTGCATACTAGAGGCCTGGTGCATGCACTGGAGGTGGGGGTCCCCTGGCCTAGCTTACCCGTTCTCACAGTCCAGGAGCCCTCAGGGGTGGGAGGCGACCTGGTGATCAGGGAAAGGTAATGCCCATCACACCTCTGCTGCTGCCACTGCCGGCAGCGCAAGCCTCGGCTGGCCCTGGTTACCTGAGCCTCAGGCGGCTCTGGGCATCTGGGCAGCTGCCATCTGGGGTTTGCCTGTGCCTCGGGCCAGCCCTGGAAACCTGGGGGGCTGAGGGGACTGGGAGACTCCCGAGCCAGGCGTATGGAGTGTCAGGGCCTGCCTAGGGCTGGGCCTGGCCTTGCCACGTGCCTGCTGCCCTGGTGGGGCTGAGGGGACTGGGCGCTGCCATCTTGTGGCTGTGGGTGCCACCATCATTGAGGATGGGACAGTCAATTAGCATATTCCCTCATTGGCTATTGGCGCTGCCATATTTGTGATGGTATGGGTCAATTAGCATATTCCCTCTTTATTAGATAGGATTGTATCCTCAATGAATCATATCAGGGTGTTGATACATCTTATTATCAGTGATGTTACCATTGATCACTTCATTAAACTAGTATCCACCAGTGTCTCCACTGTTAAAGTTGCTGTTTTTTCTTTTTGTAATTAATAAGTATCTTATGGAAATATTTTCTGTCTTCTTAAATAGCTTTGGAAGCTGATGTTAGTGTAATGTTTAGCTCACTGATTCCGTTCTCTGCTTCTTCTAGTCTACTTTTGATGCTTTCTATTGAGTTCTTTATAGAAGCGATGTCATTTTTCATTTCTTCTTTGTTCATCTTCATTTCCTCTTGGTTCTTCTTCATTTCCTCTTGGTTCTTACTCATATTGTCAAATTTGTCTTCCATTCTTTTTAGCCATCTTATGATCATTACTCTGAATTCTTGCTCTGATAGGTTACTTGCTTCTAACTTGTTCACTTCCTTTTCTTGTGATGCCTGCTTTTCTTTCATATGTTGGCTGTTTCTTTGTCTCCTCGTGATTTCTCTTTTCGGGATGTCTGGTTATGTAGTTTTCTCTCTCCTTTTCGCTGTACAGTAGTGCGCTCCTTTGAGTCCAAGTGTTCGCGCCTCCTGGGACCGGCTTTCTGGGGCTCCCAGCTGCTTGATGGTTGCTGCGGCTGTGGATATTCAGGCCTCTGACAAGATCCACTTTTCTTTTAAAGATGGCGAGATTTCCCCATCCAAGCCCATAGGTCTAGTATAATGTTTAGGTTATGAAATTCTTTCTGTCTCTGAAATGTTTCCTTTGTGTTTCAGGATCTACATAAGAAGATAATCATGCAGTTCCAGAGACATCACCAGCTAAACACTCTTTCACCAGATCAGGAGGACTGCATGTACTGGTACAATTTCCTGGCCTATCATATGGCCAATGCCAATATGCATAAAGTAAGAGGACCGACTTAAAAATTATTTTCTTTTATCTCACTTTTATTTAGTCCTGTGTTTAGAATTTTTTAATTTATAAAAATAGAATTATAGACTATGTAAGTATTTTTGTTTTTGCTGCTATTTTTACTTGCAGTGATTTTTGTTTTTTTTAAAGGTACCTTAGTAAGTGCAGTAAATGAACTACCTAAAATTCACTTTCTTTTTAACAGTAGCTTATTTTTAGAGGCAGTTTGAATTTGTTTTTAAGGTTTGAGAAGGAACGGAGGATGGCGAAGTATATCCATTCATTCAAAAAATATTTATTAGCCCAGTTGGTTTGGCTTGGTTGCTGAGCTTCAATCTGTGAACCAGGAGGTAACAATTTGATTCATGGTCAGGGCACATGCCTGGGTTGCAGGCTCTATCCTCAAGTAGGGGACTTGCAGGGTGTTGATGATTCGCTCTCATCATTGATGTTTCTATCTCCCTTCCTCTCTGAAATCAATAAAAATATTAACAAATATTTATTAAATGCCTGCTATATACTGTTATTGTTATTCATTGTGAGGCTATGCTCCAGAGTCCCTCCTGTCATTGAGCTTCCATTCTCGGGGAGACTGACAATGGACAAATAAACGTATACTATGTCAGTGGGCAGTAAGTGCTCAGAAGAAGAAAAAAGCATGAAGGAGAAAGAAAGTGATGATATAAGGGTAGAATCTTCATCATTTACTGATGGATTTGATAGGCATTGTAAGAGAAGAGAAGAGTCAAAGATGACTCCAAGGTTGTGCAGGGGAAGGATTAGAGTTGTTGCCATGGACGGAGATGGCGATGCTTGTGTGTAGAACAAGTATTTTTGGGGGTGCAGTGAAGGTTAAGAACTCATTTTGAGTATATTATATCTGATACTCATATGAAGACATCTAATTGGAAATGTTAAGCATGTAGTTGGATGTATGAATCTAAGTTTCTGGGGAAGATTCTGGACTAAAGATAACATTTGGGAACCATTAATACATAGATGATATTTGAAGTCAATTACCAGCTAACTATTAAAAATGTTAACATTTTGGAAAACTTTGAGTATTTTTTCTTTTCTTTCTTTTATTTTTTTTGTTTATTAATCCTCACTTGAGGATATTTTTTCCATTGATTTTTTTTCTTTTTTCTTTCGAGAGTGGAAGGGAGGAAGGTAGTGAGGAGAAAGAGAAAGAGAAACATTGATGTGAAAGACACACATCAATTAGTTGCCTCCCATACATGCCCTGACCAGTATAGGGATCAAACCTGCAATCCAGATACATGCCCTTGACCGGGAATCAAACCTGAGACCCTTTGTTGCTCAGGCCAATGCTCTAACCACAGAACACACTAGCCAAGGTGAGTTACTTTTCTATGCTTAGGTACATTAGTCTGGTGGTGTTTTTTTTTTTTTTTTTTTTTTTTTTTTTTTTTCCTGTCATCTTCCCTGAGGATATTTTTCCATTGATTTTGAGAGAGAGAGAGAGAGATACAAGAGAGAGAGATACAAGAGAGACACATCGATTGCTTGCCTCCCACACACTCCCTGACCAAGGTCTGGGATTGAGCCTGCAACCAAGGTACGTGCCCTTGACTGGATTCGAACCCAGGATCCTTCATTCCATGGGCCAATGCTCTGTTCTTTGATCCAAATCAGCTGGGGCATAGTGTTTTTTATTTTTTTTATTTTTTTTTTTAAGGTATTCCAATAACTATCAATGGCCTAATTTACTTAACCAAACTGTAATTGTTAAACATTTAGGTTGTTTTCAGTTTTTTGCCTTTATGATGCTGTAATGAATATTCTGTCTTTGCACCTATATTATTTCCTTTGAAAATTCTTTGAAGTGGAATTAATAGGTTCAGGTATTTAAAAAAAATCCACTTCAAAATTTGTTTTATTGATTCCAGAAAGGAAGAGAGAGAGAGGGAGAGAGAGAGAAAAATCAGTGATGAGAGAGAATCATCATCCTGCATCCTGTATAACCCCCACTGGTGATTAAGCCAGCAACCCAGACATGTGCCCTGACTGGAGGTCACTGGTTCATAGGTTAATGCTCAACCATCGGCTGGGCTATCTTATGTTTTATTTTCTACTTAATATATTATGTGATCATTTTTTTATGTCACTTAATATATTATGTGATCATTTTTTTATGTCATTTTTTTATGTCATAATTTTTAAATCTGCATACTATTTCATTGTGTAGCTAAATTATGATTAGCCAATTGATCAATTAGCTTGTGTAAGCATACTCATCTGATTATTATCTCAACACACATATTTATAAGTGTAATTTGTGGGTCAGTTTCAATTTTAATACAGATTGCCAAACTATCCTCTAGAGGAGGGTTGCTTTGACTGACATCACTACCAATAGTGTAAGACAGTGTTCATTTCCTCTGATTACAGCTGATATTCTTTTTTAAAAAAAAATATATTTTATTGATTTTCTACAGAGAGGAAGAGAGAGGGATAGAGAGTTAGAAACATCGATGAGAGAGAAACATTGATCAATTGCCTCCTGCACACCCCATACTGGGGATGTGCCCGCAACCAAGGTACATGCCCTTGACTGGAATCGAAACTGGGACCTTTCAGACCGCAGGCTGACGCTCTATCTACTAAGCCAAACTGGTTTCGGCTACAACTGATATCTTTTTTTTAAAAAAAATATATTTTTATTGATTTTTTAAAAAAAAATATTTTATTGATTTTTTACAGAGAGGAAGGGAGAGAGATAGAGAGCTAGAAATGTCGATGAGAGAGAATCATCAACCAGCTGCCTCTTGCACACCCCCTATTGGGGATGTGCCCGCAACCAATGTACATGCCCTTGACCGGAATCGAACCTGGTACCTTTCAGTCCCCAGACCGACGCTCTATCCATTGAGCCAAACCGGTTTCGGCTATTTTTTACAGAGAGAAAGAGAGAGGGATAAAGAGCTACAAACATCAATGAGAGAGAATCATCGATCAGCTGCCTCCTGTACACTCCCCCCTGGGAGTGTACAACCAAGGTTCATGCCCTTGACAGGAATCGAACCTGGGACCTTTCAGTCCGCAGGCTGACTCTCTATCCACTGAGCCAAACCAGTTTCAGCTACAGCTTATATTCTTATCATTTCTGTTAGTCTTTAGAAATCTGATATTAAAAAATAGTTTGTGATGGGTAAGTCTTACACAGACAGCCCAATACTGAAGTTTTCACCAACTTAGATCCTGTTTCAATGATTTTTCAAAGAAAACACAATGAAAAAAAATTCTTTAAAAAGTCTTTATCTTTTAAAATTGATTAAAATGGTACCAATGTTCCCATCCAAGATTAAAGTGAGTTTAGAGGTAGAGGATTAAGTAATGACTTTGTAATTAAGTATGTGCACAGAGAGTTTAGATAACATGTTATTTTATCATCGAAATACTTTAGGTTGAATTTGTCCTAGCCTTTATCCTTGCTCATGTAAATAACTGCCTATGAGCCATGAAAGGTAAATAGAATTAGCTACTGCTTAAGATAAATTATATTCCATGGAACCAATGGTAATGGTTAAATATGGAGATAAGATAAATAACAGCTAAAATTTACTAAGTATTTACTGTGCACCAGGATTTGTTCCAAGCATTTAACACATACTAACTCATTTAAAGTTTTATCACACCCTGTGAGATAGGGCTACCAGTATCTCCATTTACAAAATGAAGAAACTAAGGCTCCAGCCTGGTGGTGGCGGGGGAAAAAATTTGTGCTTTTTATTTTGTGAATTGCTTCTCATCCATTGCCTTTACCTATTTTTTATATTGGAGTGCTTATCTTTTCTTTTTTAAAAAAAAAATAGTTTATTGATGCTTTACACAGAGGAAGTGGGAGGAATAGAGAGTTAGAAACATAGATGAGAGAGCAATATCAATCAGCTGCCTCCTGCATGCCTCCTACTGGGGACGTGCTCGCAACCAAGGTACATGCCCTTGACCAGAATTGAAACTGGGACCTTTCAGTCCGAAGGCCGATGCTCTATCCACTGAGCCAAACCTGTAAGGGCCGTTTTTTTCTTATTTTTAAAGAATTTTCTATAAAACTGAATGAGTAGTCATTTTTATTCTATCAATACTATCATCTATCCTACCTGCTATAAACATGTTTTCCTGGTTTATTTTTTGTCTTCAAATTTATTTATATTGTTTTCTACTATATTGAAGATTTGAGTTTTTATGTTATTAAATGCACCATTTTTTCTTTTCTGTAGCCAAACCGGTTTCGGCTATTTTTTTTTATTTGCTGTCATGCCTGCAAACGTTTTCTTTACCGCAGGTTTATAGAAATATTTACCTGTTTGTTCTAGTATTTTCTGAAGTTTTCTATTTTCTATTTAAGTCTTCAATCCAACTAAAATTTATTTTGAGTTAGGGTGTGAGGTTCATTTTATGTTTCTTACGAACTATTTATGTGTTCCTTTCCAATAGTTTCTTTTTTGTCCTTAAATTTGAGTGTCTGCTAGGTTTCTCTCAGTAGTGCTAGGATAACGATGGTAGATTTAAAATTCTCTGATTTCTTTAACAAGGCCCCTGATCTTATTATTTATTTATTTTTTGAAAGGAACTTTGTGCTTTAATGTTTTCCCTGGATTGGATTAAAGCAAAAACGGAGCTTGTAGGCCCTGCTCATTTGATCCATGAATTTGTGGAATACAGGGATATACTGGATGAGAAGGTATTTATCCATTCAAAAAATAAGTCCTGAAAGGACATGCTTGTTCTGACATTTAACTCTAGGGTTTAATAACGGGGACGAGCAGAATAGAAAGGGACGAAGAGAGATAATTTTCTTATTTTGACCTTTGATTATTTTAATTATTTTGCTTCCTAGCCTATTGGGAATATGAATAGGATTGAGTTTTGAAATTTGAAGAAGTAAAGTGTTTTTTTTTTTTTTAAAGACTGTATTAAGAAAGTAGTACTTTGATAATGAGATATTTATCCCATGTTTAAAAGTTTATCCTATGTTTAAAAGTCTATATTTGTTACCTAAGTGGTTGGTTATTCAATTTTAGCTCACACAGAGACTATATCATTTATGCCTTTAAAGTGATGAGATCACAGAAACAGAAAAATGTTGGCTCTGGTTATGCTTCTAAGAGATTTCATTTTGTTCATAGGATTATGCAGTCTGTGAAAATTTCCAGGAGTTTTTATCTTTAAATGGACATCTTCTTGGACGACAACTGTTTCCTAGTATTGTACAGCTGGGTCTCTGTGAGCCTGAAACTTCAGAAGTGTATCAGCAAGCTAAGCTGCAGGCCAAGCAGGAGGTCGATAACGGAGTGCTTTACCTGGAGTGGATGTAAGTAGGTTAGGAGAGACCAAAGGAAGCAGCGTGCTAATTATGTCCTTATTTTTTCAGGTAGCGAATAAGCTCACTCCAGGAAGATTTAACTGCAGTTCTTCAGAAAAGGCTGGAACTTTTAATAAGCATTCTTACTTATTGAAAAGTGTTAGAGAAGTAAGCATAGGAGAAAAGTACATGTTCAAAGACTCCATAGAAATAGTTGTTTGGCTGTTTGGCAGTTTGACAAGTCATTCTAAATATTAATACTAACCTAAACCGGTTTGGCTCAGTGGATAGAGCGTTGGCCTGCTGACTGAAAGGTTCCAGGTTCAATTCCGGTCAAGGGCATGTACCTTGGTTGCGGGCACAACCAAGGTGGGGGGTGTGCAAGAGGCAGCTGATCAATGATTCTCTCTCGTCGATGTTTTTAACTCTCTATCCCTCTCTCTTCTTCTCTGTAAAAAGATCAATAAAATATATTTAAAAAAATATTAACACCAAATGCTTTATTTAGTGTAATATAATAAGTAGTGAAGAACATGGGCTTTGAAGCCACAAACCTATTTTGAGTCTCATTTCTAAAATAACAGTTTTGTGATTTTTGAACAATAAGTAAAATGGAGATAACAGTGCTTTGAGGTCAGTACTATTTTTGTGAAGATTAAATGAGATATTGGATATTAAATGATTAGCACTTTGTCTTATACTTAGTCCTTATTCAACTTTCCCTGGCCCATGATTCTTCTAACTTCAGAAAGAGGCTATTTCGTTTTGCTCTTATCAATTAGTAATCTTAATCTTATCAATTAGTTAAAGGAAAGCCAAACTATCACCTTTTTCATGCCTGTAATATACATAGGCTGACATCTTATTCATTTTATCTTCAGAACCACCTTATAAGGTTTTCGTAAGTATCATTTGCCATATTTTGCAAATGAGAAAACTGAGGCACAGAGAGGTTGAGACTTGATTAGGTTTGTGTGACTTGCTGAGGTTGTGGGGTGAGGGGGTAGAAAAAGAGAGAGAGAGACAGAGAGACAGAGAGACATTGATGTGAAAGACAAATATTGATGTGAAAGAGAAACACATCAATTGGTTGACTCCCTCATGAGCCTCAACCAGGGCTAGGGATTAAGCCCGAAACTGAAGTACATGCCCTTGACCGGAATTGAACCAGGAACCCTTCAATCCTTGAACCAAACTGGCTAGGGCCAAACTTTGACTTTTAAATTAAGCACGAAACCATTTAACATATATTCTTTTTTTTTTTTTTTTTTAAATATATTTTATTGATTTTTTACAGAGAGGAAGAGAGAGGGATAGAGCGTTAGAAACACCGTTGAGAGAGAATAATCAATCAGCTGCCTCTTGCACACCCTCTACTGGGGATGTGCCCGCAACCAAGGTACATGCTTTTTTTTTTTTTTTTTTTTTTAAATAAGTTTTTATTGTTCATAAGGTACATGCTCTTGACCGGAATCGAACCTGGGACCCTTCAGTCCGCAGGCCGAGCTCTATCCACTGAGCCAAACCTGTTTCAGCTAATATATGTTCTTATATCCAAAGTGACTGACAGAAAAATCCTGACTGTTCTGATACTTTTCTCATTTTAAGTATATGTTATATTTTTTTACACTTTTGTTCTTTATTTTTATTTATTTGTTCCTTTACCCTTTAGCCCATGAAAAATAATATAATATTTATACCTGAGGGATAGTTAGTATTCAGTAGATTAAGATACACAGAAGGTAACGTTACTTTATTTACTTTTTCTCTATATCTGAATAATTTACTTAGAGAAGAGTGGTTTTAGAGTACATCATCATAATGGCAGGTGTAGTGTCATGCTTTAGTTAGGAAATGAGCTTCATTTTGCCATCATTTCCTTTTAAAAAACAGGGAGATTTTCTTTTAGAGGGAATCCTTACATAATTTTTTCTCTGCACATGTTATTATTTATTAAAGCATCAAGGAAAATAGAAGGTGATGTGATTAACTAGATTTCTTCCAACTCAGTGACATTTTTAACACGACAGGTTGCTTGATATAGGGTGGCAATTCTCTTAAAATGCCAAGTTTGTTATATTATGCTTTTTTCCTTCAGGTGACCTTCTACATTTACATGTTGGCAATTTAATTTTAAGAATTTTGTATTTTGGGGACTATAAGCTAAAAGACAGTTTATTACTGAAATTTATACTCACTTGTTGTGTTTCTGTTCTTTTTTCCCTTGTATTTAGAAACAAAAAGAACAGCAAGAATCTCTCTCGCTTAGTTGTCCGCCCCCATACAGATGCTGTTTACCATGCTTGCTTTTCTGAGGATGGCCACAGAATAGCTTCTTGTGGACCTGATAAAACCTTACAGGTAAAATATGTCTCTTGAGAAAAATGGAAAAGGGCATATATCCAAAACTATATGTATTAATATATATTTAAGTCCTAAAAGTCAAGTAAATTGCACATAGAAATAGAGAAACCGAATCTCTTGAACATTTTATAAAAGCTTTCTCTATGTCTAATGATTTTAAAGATATGTTAGTGTGGTTTTTGTTTTGCTTTCCATAATTCTAAACTTGCCAAGTGACATAGAGGTGGCTTTTACCCTGCCCATCAGTTGTCTTCACCCATTGTGCCAGCTAAAGATAATGAGGAATTGATAATTGTTGAAAGACATACGACTTTCTAGCAGAGTGAGCAGAGCTCTGACTGAAATACAATGATTAAGTAGAATACCTATTTTATCGCCAACTCAGGCATAGATTTCTGGCGATAAATGGAATTGGCTAGGTTGTTTCCTAAGGTGCCTGAAGGAATTTCCTTTAAGTTCTCATTTGTTTTCAGAAAATATGAATGAGTGCTTTACTTTAAACTTGTGCTCTAACTTTTGATTTTGAAGGAATCAGAATTAAATTAGTTAAAACTTTCATAATTATGATAGCTTTAGTCTTTGCAAGATTATTTCTATAACTCTTATTTCTATTCCTGTGTGTGCTTTATTACTAATTTTGTCTTTTGAGCCCCGGAAAGAAATTATATTGCAAGAAATATTTTATGTTTGCTTGTTAAGAATTTGTGAGACTATTCTCAAGAACTGAAGCTATACTCTGTTAGCTCTTTTTATTAATATTACAAACATTTAACAATGGATAGTTCTCTATTTTAGAGCATATAGATTCTGACTCAAATTCTGATTTTTGGGTTGATTTTGCCAAGGTTCATTTTTGTTGCAAAATAACAGTGATTAAGATCTTTTCAGGAAAGATTTTTATTAAATAATGGCTCATGGTTAAGTGATACATAGTAAAAACAATTTTGTTGTTGCTTGTGCAGGTGTTCAAAGCTGAAACAGGAGAGAAACTTCTAGAAATCAAAGCTCATGAAGATGAAGTACTTTGCTGTGCATTCTCAACAGATGACAAATTTATAGCAACCTGCTCAGCGGATAAAAAAGTGAAGGTAAGGAAACATTTTCCTCTTCAGTTGTAATCACCACAGAATTCATAACAGAGGGACTAGGATAAGAAAGGTTAAAGGACTCCTTCTTGCCTGTTGATCTGCTAACTTGAGATAAATTAGTTTTATCCGTTGTAAGTTAATTCTCTCTGAAAAACCTCTATATTTAAGTCCCAGCAAAGATATCCAGGCTGATCAGTCTGAGATACTTACCAGGCAGCTGAGAAAAAGAGTTACAAATTAATAAGTTTGTCTGCCATTTATTAACTGGTCTGTGGGATAAATATCATTTTAAATCTTGCTTACCATGCTTGCAATTCTGAGGATGGTTACAGAATAGTTTCTTGCGGAGCTGATAAAACCTTACAGGTAAAATATGTCTCATGAGAAAAATTGAAAAGGGCACATACTCAATACTGTGCATATTAGAATATATTTAAATCCTAAAAGTCAAGTCTACTGTTACTGCACAAAATTACAATCTGAGATTGGATTCTGTTGTAATTTGTGAAATGCAACCCAGATTTTTTACCTTTATGAACTGACTTATTTTCTGTGCAAAACCAGATGGATGAACAAATTAATAATTAGGTTAGTAGTCTAAAAAGTATATAGAGAAAAATAAATAAATACAGGGTAATTTTTATCTTTGTTAATTTTTCTTTCTTGTTTCTTGTCCCTAAATTTGGCTTTTAGCTAGAGCATTTATGTAGAATATAAGATAAATTGAAGTCCAAGGGAATGTTTTACATGATAAGTGGAGGGGGAATTTCACTTCAGGCTTTTTTCAAAGGGTTGTGGAGTGCTGAATTTGGCTAGGTGGAGTGGATCTTAGGAGACTTGAGAACAATAGAATTGGCTTAGGAGTTTTCCTGGAGTTTCTGTCCACTTGAAGAAGGCTCTGGAGTGTCCAGACTAAATTGAAATCTTGGAGAAATCTATTTCTTGATATATTGGACTCTCTTAGGTGACTTCACAACCAACTAGTTAATTTACTCTGTACCCTTTACTCTTAAGTCAGACTTGCAGTTGGCCACTCTGAGCAGTTCCAAAGTCAAAGTTATAAGGAGTAAAAGGAAATAATACCAAGTTTCTCTTTTCTAAGAATTCAAAATTTAAAGCAAGAGACAGAAATTAAAAGAACTTCAAAATAAAGGAAACTCTCTGGACCTCTGGGGAGTGCTTTGATGAGATAAAAAGAAAATGCTTATGAGAGGGACATTAGTACCTCTGAGAAGTCAAAGCCCAGTGAAGAGTGATTAGGTAATTTATTTCACTTATTTATTGTTAGATGGAGTAGACATGTTTAGTTAGTCATCTTACATAGTAATTAGAATGATGATTTTTTTTTTATTGTGAACTCAACACTGCATTTTCTTAAATGATCAGTTTCACTCTATAACTTGCAAAGTAAGTATTGATCCTAGTTTTCAGATGAGGAGACAGATTCAGAGGGAAATTATTTGCTTTAAACTCATGGAGCCAGGGTTGGAAGCTAGGTTTCCCTCAGAATATACTATCTATTTTTTTCACCGAGCCATCTGCCCATACTTATTTATTGGTATCTTGAGATCATATTCTTTTTCCCATTTGATACCATTCTAGTGGTACAGGTATACATATTCCTTAAGAGGGAACTGAGATACAGGAAAATTAAGGGCTTGCCCAGGGACACTTAAATTAAAATGATTTCATCATTCCCAGCGAAGTCCATTATTCTATTCACATATAACACTTCTCTGCATGCTTTCATTCATATGACCGTCTAAAATCTTGCTCTTGAAGACTGTGATGTTTTGAGGAGATTCCAGTTATGCTATAGAAAGACACATGTATAGACTTGCAAAGTAAGTTTTTTATAAAACTATTTGACATGTTTTAGTGAAGTGAGAGGTGTTTATTAGCATCATCTACGCCCGAGAAAATCTGACAGAGTGGATAGCATCCATAAAGCAGTTCATATTTTATTTGCTTTATTTCAAAATAAGAGGTAATGGTAAATTTTATTTTGAAAATTTTCTTTAGATTTGGAATTCTGTGACTGGGCAACTGGTACAAAGCTATGATGAGCACTCAGAGCAAGTCAACTGCTGCCACTTTACTCACAGCAGACATCACCTTCTCTTAGCCACCGGGTCAAGTGACTGCTTCCTCAAAGTAAGTGTGGGTAATGAGAATTATATAGATACATTTGTAGACCCATCAGGACATCGCCTTTGACTTTCTTGTACATTGTATTAATCAGGGCTCTTTTGGTTGCAGTGACACAGACTTTCATATTAGCTCACTTAACAGCAACAAAGAAGGTATTATTGGCTCATGTAACTGGAAAGGCTAGAAGGAGAATGGCTTCAGGCAGAGCTGATTCCAAATGCTTACACTACGTCCTCAGGCTCTAACTCCCTGTCCATCTCTAGACTCGGCTTCCCTCTTTGTTGGTTCAGGCATGGTATCTCTGTGTGACAGGAAACAGAGCTATTCTCAGCTCGGCTTATATAGGGCTTACAGCTCATAATCACAGAGGAAGAGAAAAACTTGCTCTTTCCCAGATTCTGCATATTTAATTTTAGAGAAAGCTGTAGTTGACCTAGTTCCAGTTACATACCCATTGCTAAATAACCCCACTAGCCGGTAGGATGGAATCCTTAGATTGACTAAGAATCACAAGTTTAGTCATGTAGAAACTGGACAGATGAGGTAAAGTCAGCTCCACTTGAGTTATAAGTGATTTAAAAGAGAAGTTTTGTTGTCAAAAGAAGGGGGGGCCGAAACCGGTTTGGCTCAGTGGTAGAGCGTCAGTCTGTGGACTGAAAGGTCCCAGGTTCGATTCCGGTCAAGGGCATGTACATTGGTTGCGGGCACATCCCCAGTGGGGGGTGTGCAGGAGGCAGCTGGTTGATGTTTCTCTCTCATCGACGTTTCTAGCTCTCTATCCCTCTCCTCCTCTCTGTAAAAAATCAATAAAATATATTAAAAAAAAAAAAAGAAGGGGGGTAAAGGTGCTAGTGGGGGGGGGGGAAGCAAAAAACAGCAACCCTCTAAAACCAAAATTAGATACTCATTTCACATGTTTGCTAATGTTTATAATTACAAATTATAAAAGAGACTTATCTTTTCCCCCCACTTAAGTGGCATACTAAAGATAGCTAGATTAAATTTTCTTGGATCCCAGAAATGTCTGCTAACTTCTTTTGGATTCTGTTTTTGGTTTGGTTTATGCTCTTTCTTTGTAAATGTCACACCATTTTTGTATTGGACATTGCATTTTTTGGTGAAGTGGGTAAAACATTTCAGTTTGAAAAACCTCATAGTTTCTGTGTTTTGACATTTAAATAAGCTATTTAAAAAATTTTATAAAAATATGGAAACATTTGTTGAAAACTGCCCCCTCCCCTTTTCAGGAAGTTGAACCTTTTTCTTTTTTTTCCTTCCAAAGAGAACTTAAAAAAAAAAAAGATATAATTTTTAAAGAGTATATATTTTATTGGTTTCAGAGAGGAAGAGAGAGGGATTGAGAGAATCATCAATGATGAAAGAGAATCATTGATTGGCTGCCTCCTGCATGCCCCCTACTGGGCATTGAGCCTGCAACCTGGGCATGTGCCCTTGACCAGAATCAAATCTGGGACTCTTCAGTCTGCAGGCCAACGTTCTATCCACTGAGCCAAACCAGCAAGGGCCCAAAGAGAACTTTTATATATAAGCTCAGTTTGTAGAAGAGATAAAACTCACATTTTTTGTGCTGAGGTGAGGGTATGGACCTGCATTTCTAGTCTCTCTTGTTCCTTCTTTTACTCTCCGCCTCCTCTTAATGCCTTTTCAGACATGTTTCTGGAGTCCCTGGGTCCTGCAGACACAATTTGAAAACACCAGTTTGGATCAAAATAATATAGTAGCATAAAATTATCTTACAATTATAGATCATTTTTACTCAGTAAAGTTTATCCTACTGAGTAAACCACCATTAAAAGTAAGACTGTTGTACCATTTCAGAAAAGCTCTGCTCTAATTGAATGAACCCACTTCTAAAACTAGGTGACTAATTTTGATGTTACTGTTAACATTTTGTAGGGTGAGGAAGTTTATATTTCCTCCATTTATTTATTATTATTATTTTAAATATATTTTTATTGATTTCTGAGAGGAAGGGAGAGGGAGAGAGAGAAACATCCATGATAACAAAGAATCATTGATTGGCTGCCTCCTGCATGTCCCCCACTAGGGATCGAACCTGCAACCGGGGCATGTGCCCTCACTGGGAATCCAACCATGATCCCCTGCTTCATAGGTCAATGTTCAACCATTGAGCGAAACTGGCTGGGCTACTTATTATTTTTTAAAAAATATGTTTTTATTGATTTTAGAGAGGGAGAGGGATAGAGAGAAATATCAGTAATGTGAATCATTGATCAGCTTCCTCCTGCATGCCCCCTACTGGAGATCAAGCTCGTAACCTGGGTATGTGCCTTGACCAAAATTGAATCAGTGACCCCTTAGTGCATGAGACAACCAACTGATTCACACTAGCCTGGGCAATATATTTCCTTCTGTTAAATGTAGACAGAAATCTTTAAGATGTAGGAAGGGGACATTTGTTAGTCAAAAGTTTTAATTATGAACAACTTTTACTCTAAGAGCTGTCATACCACACCTGCATTATCTTGAGGGCTATTAGAACTCACTTCTTGTGATTCTTGAACTGAGAGAAGCCAATAAAAATATGTAAGTCTAAAGCTGCCCCCATGTAACTCGCTCCTCTGAGGAACTGAATTTACCTGGTACTGGTTGGGATAAAAGAACCAAGCATGGAGATGACCATGATGAATAGGACTTACTTCACTTACTGTTCATTTCCTAAGGATTTAAATTAATTGTGGGGGATACTTGATTTACCCTTTTGTATTTAGTCTAGTTAGCATAAATCACCAGAGATTACTATTGTCCCCTTTATTTGCATTTAAAAAAATTAAAAAAAATATATATTTTATTGAGTTTTTACTGAGAGGAAGAGAAAGCTAGAAACATCGACCAGCTGCCTCCTGCACACCCCCTACTGGGGTTGTGCCCACAACCAAGGTACACACCCCTGACCGGAATCGAACCCGGGACCTTTCAGTCCACAGGCCGACATTCTATCCACTGAACCAAACCGGTTTCAGCTTTATTTGCATTTTTTAAGTGCTTTTTATCCATATCCAAAAGGAGAGGATATAGTAATGAATTCCTCTGCTAGCCACCATTTAGCTCCAACAATTATCAACATTTTCCCAATTTTATTTTATTTTTCTACAAACCTCAATTTTTTTTGGACTAGAGCACTTTTAGCAAATCCTAGATATCATTTCATATTACCCCAAAATGCTTCATGTTCACATTTCCCTATTTGTCTCAAAACATATCTTTCTACCGTGGGTTGATTGGGATCAGAATATGAAGTTCAGGTGGCATTTGATTGTTATTATGCCTCTTAAATCTCGTTTATTCTGTAAAAGTTCCCCTTTCCCTCTGCCTCTATTTTTTATGGCATTGATTGGTTAGAGAGAAACTGAGTCATTTGTCCTGGGGAATGTTTCACATGCTAGATTTGATCAATTCCTGAAGGTATTGTTTAATTTGCTCTTCTAACCCTTATATTTTCTGCCATATAATTAATAGTATATCTATCTTTGCTATCTTTGTATTTTGGAGTCATTTTTTAGAGCATTAATAGATTTTAGCTTAGTTAGCACACTCAAGCTTTGCATTGGGAAATCTTAGAAATGACCACTTTTTGAGTTAATAAGTTTGGATAATCTAGCCTCTACAAGAATTTGGGGTGATTTATTTTGCATATTACTTATTATAGAGCTGAGTAGAATAATGATGATTCTAAACCACCTTGTTAAAATAAACAGTAATTGTTCAGTTACTTAGTGCTCAGACTAAAAGTCCAGGCGAGCCTTTGAGTCCCTGAGTGGATTTAGGTGCTGACCTAAGGGTTGCCCCATTACTTGTTAATCACAAGTTCATCTTTGTCTTTCACACCTTTGTGTTTCACACCTTTGTGTTATTGTGAATTGAACATCTGCCTGTAACTGAAAAAGCTTAATTGAAATGGAAGAAAGAGCTTGACATGATTTCTAACTTTCCCCCATTCAGTATTAGTTTTTTAGTTATATTTTTATCTTTCTCAAATAGCTCTGGGAGTTGGATCAAAAACAATGTCGAAATACCATGTTCGGCCACACCAATTCAGTTAATCACTGCAGATTTTCGCCAGATGATAAGTTTTTGGCTAGTTGTTCAGATGATGGAACGTTAAAGGTATGCTTTTGTTTATCATTAAAATGGGATGTAATTTTATGGCCTTAGAATTGGGTTATGGAATTAGGCTTCTGTTTCACATTTCTGCAAAAAAAGCATCCACTTCCAGGACCATATTTAATGTAACTGTAATTACTTGTCATAATGATTGTTTATTCATGACCTTATGCTTTAAAGTTCATAAATTTGATTTCTTAATTTTTAAGATATATTTTATTTCATGACTTTATAAAATCTTTTGAGATGTAAAGGTCAAATTTGTAAAGCTCCTGCTTTTATTTATCATTTATTTATCCTGCCTTTTATGTTATTCCTATTTTTAAGAAGTCTCACTGGGGGAAAACTCAGAGCTAAGGAAAAAAGTTTAGTTCAGTCCCCTAAGTCAGTGGTCATTAACTGGTGGTCTGTGAGGTCTGAAAGGTTGGCAACTGCTGCCCTAAATTATAGTTCTAAAAAACCCAATTTTTTTTTTTTTTTTAGGTTTTAGACACATTCTTTTTAAAAAAAATAAATCTTTATTGTTCAGATTATTACGAATGTTCCTCTTTTCTCCCCCCAATAGCTCCACTCCACCTGATTTCCCCCTCCCATGTCCTTACCCCCTGCCACTGTATTCATCCATGGTTGTAAGATTTTTTTTTTTTTAAATGTATTTTATTGATTTTTTACAGAGAGGAAGGGAGAGAGATAGAGAGCTATTATAGAAACGTCGATGAGAGAGAAACATCGACCAGCTGCCTCTTGCACACCCCCTAGCGGGGATGTGCCTGCAATCAAGGTACATGCCCTTGACCGGAATCGAACCTGGGACCTTTCATTCCGCAGACCGACGCTCTATCACTGAGCCAAACCGGTTTCGGCCATAGTTGTAAGATTTTTGTCTAATCTCTTCCTGCACCTCTCACACCCCTTTCCCCCTGAGAATTGTCAGTCCACTCCCTTTCTATTCCTTGATTCTATTATATTCACCAGTTTATTCACTTGATTTTTAGATTCACTTATTGATAGATATGTATTTGTTGTCACTTTGTTCATAATTTTTATCTTTACCTTTTTCTTCATCTTTCTTTTCTTAAAGAATACCCTTCAGCATTTCATATAACCTGGTTTGGTGGTGATGAACTCCTTTAGCTTTTTCTTGTCTGTGAAGCTCTTTAGCTGACTTTCAGTTTTAAATGATAGCTTTGCTGGGTAGAGTAATCTTGGTTGTAGGTTCTTGTTATTCATCACTTTGAATATTTCTTGCTACTTCCTTCTGGACTGTTGAGAAATCAGCTGACAGTTGTATGGGTACTCCCTTATAGTAACTAACTGTTTTTCTCTTGCTGCTTTCAAGATTCTCTCTTTGTCTTTTGCCCTTGGCATTTTAATTATGATGTGTCTTCGTGTGGTCCTCTTTGGATTCCTCTAGTTTGGGGTTTTGTACACTTCCTAGACTTGTAAGTCCATTTCTTTCACCAGGTGGGGGAAGTTTTCTGTCATTATTTCTTCTAATAGGTTTTCAATATTTTGCTCTCTCTCTTCTTCTGGCATCTCCATAATTCGGATGTTGGTGCATTTGAAGTTGTCCCAGAGGCTCCTTACACTATCTTCATATTTTTGGATTCTTTTTGTTTGTTTGTTTTTCTGATTGGGTGTTTTTTGTTTTCTCATATATTTTAGACAGTGTATGCTTAATTTCTGACTGGTCCTTTTCCTTTTCCTTTTTTTTTTTTTTTTTTTTTTTTTTTTTTAATTCTCATTAGGATCCTTGAAGGTCTTACTATGTTCCTCAAAGGTCTCACTAAGTTTCTTGGTGGTTTCTAGATTCTTGAGTAACCTTATAACTGTGGTTTTGAACTCTATATCCAGTAGTTTGTTTTCCTCCATTTATTTCATTCATGACATGTTTCTTTGTCTCTGCATTTTGGCTGCTTCCCTGTGTTGATAGAGTGGCTTTGTGTGCTAGGTGACCTATAGGGCCCAGTGGCTCAGCCTCCCCAATCACCTAAGGTTGATTGATGCACCCCTTTGTGGTCTGGGTGCACAGTCTTATAATTAAGCCTTAGTTGCTGTTGGTACACTGGGAGGAATTGACCTCCAGACCAATTGGCTGTGAGGATCAGCTGTGTCTATAATGGAAGAACTGCTGTGCTGGAGACACCCTTATGGGGCAGATCTTGCTTCAGTGGGGCTTTGGTGCTCACTGAGTCTGCCTCTTGAGTGTGTCACTTATGTATGTGAGGAGTTGAAATCTGGTGTTGTCTCACACTGACCACTAAGTACACTGGCTCCTGGATCTTCAAGGAGGTGCAAGTTAGCTACTGTCTGAGGCCACCCAGCAGGAGCTACAGTGAGATCTGCATATTTCTCCTCTTTGTTTGGGGTTTGGAAGTTTTTTTTGTTTTTGTTTTCAAATTTAGTAAATCTGTATCGCTCAGATTATTACAATTGTTTCTCCTTTTTCCCTGAGGTTTGGAAGTTTTGGCACTCTCTGACCCTGCTGCAATTTGTTAGGTTAAGCTGTGAAAGGGCAGGCCATTCATATGCAAAAGCCACTGCGCACAGTTTGGGTGGGTTTGTAAATTGGGTGGGGTGGGGTCTTAGGGACTCACTAGGGCATGGCAAACAGTGATGTCTGCTAGTCAGCAGTCTCTGTGTCTCCGAGTTTTCGCGTCCCTGTGTCCTGTGCCCCAGCGCAGTGAATAATGATTTTTGCGCACACTTCTGTGAGAAAGCCAGCCTCACTTTCTGACCTGATACCAAACAGTCCAATTTCTCCCCATAGGAATCTGGGTCCCCAGAGTCTCACCAGAAACTGGTGTTCAGAGCAGTTGGGAGCTTGTATCTCCCTTCCAATTGAAAAACAAAACAAAACAAAACAAAACAAAACAAAACAAAACAAAACAAAAAAAGCACACCCAAACATCAGCCTGATTTGCGTGCGCACCTCCATACCTCTGCTTTTCTGTGCCTTTGCACCTCCTGCACAGTCTCAATGAGCTTCTTTCTTTCCTTCTAGTTGTAGAACTTCTACTCTGCCAGCCTTCTTGTGGTTCTGGGTAATAGTCGTTTTGTCTTTTATTTGTAGTTTTGGTGTGGTTGTGAGAGGCAGCATGTACAGGTGTATACCTTATGCCGCCATTTTGGTTTTCCTCAAAAACCCAAATTCTTCCTCCCTAAATCTTTACCTAACTTCTCCAGTAATCTCCCTCTTTTTTTTTTTTTTCTTTGTCTCTACAATCATTTTATCTGTTCATTGATTCTCCTTTCTTCCTTTGTTCTTAAGTCCAATCCACTTTTGGCTTCCTTGTCTTTTGGTCTACCTTTCCCCTCCCATTCTCTAGTATATGCTGTGGTTCTTGCAGTCATTTCTCATGTCTAATAGCAGCTTTCTAAGATGCACTCTTCATTCTTCCTTAGCCCATTGCAGAGCTTCTAGAATCCTCCCTACCTCTATTTTCATCTTGCCACTTTTAGCTGGGGCAAAAAGGTGCCAGGTTATAAATTGTATTAAACCCAGGTTCATCAGTTATTAATTTGAAGGCTCTTCACCTTCCATCATTCTGCTGCCTCTGTTCCTATCAAATTTCTTTATTCTCCCTCCACTATATTAAACACTAATTGTCATTACAGGGTAATTTTGGGGGCTTATTTCAGCTGGTATTCTATATATATGTTTTATTAGTTGTTCTTAGTGTTTTTTTGTGTTTTGCTTTTTTGCCTGCACTTCACTTGACAATAGTTTTTAATGACCTTTAAAACTATGCAAAGCCTTCTTCAGAAAATATTCTCTTATAACATTCATCTGGTTCTGAGTATATATGTCCATATCTATCTGTATACCTATGTTGGTTGATAGATAGATAGATAGATGGATGAAAGAAATAAAAAGGAAGGAAGATAGATAGTTAGATAGATAGATAGATAGATAGATAGATGAAAGAAATAAAAAGGAAGGAAGGAAGAAAAGAGAGGAAGAAAGGAAGGAAGGAAGAGAAAAGGAAGGAAGGAAACTGCTTGGTTTGTCTTACAATTTCTACTTGTAAATGTTTTCTGCTTAGTTCAGTCATTTTCATATGTCTTATATTTCTCTGGTAAGGTTGAATATAGGTTTATGATTGGCAGAGACATTGTCATCATCTTCTTGTATCCCTTTGATGTTCGTAGAACAAAGTTAAACTTAAAACATGCAAACAATACATTTTATTGGCATATACCTCTTCCAAGGAAATACTTGAATCCCTTTGTGCACTTTTTTTATTAGAATCTCTAGAAAAGGAGATATGTTAAAGCTACTAGGTGACTCCTAAATTATAAAAAGGTAAATTCTCTTTATACTGATCCTCTGGTTGAGTCTTAATTTTAATTTTAATAAAATAAAATAAATATTTTTATTGATTTCAGATAGGAAGGGAGAAGGAGAGAGAGATAGAAACATCAATGATGAGAGAGAATCATTGATCGGCTGCATCTTGTACATCCCCACAAACCAGGCTTGTGCCCTGACCAGGAATTGAACTATGACCTTCTGGTTCATAGGTCGACACTCAACCACTAAGCCATGCCAGTCAGGCTGGCTGACTTAATGTTGAATTCTAATGTCATACTCTGTAGATCTTTTGTGTTGATCTGATGGGTATTCAGAGAAAAATCTTCAGTCTTCTACCTGTAGAGTATGTCTGGCTGTCAAGTTCTGGAAAGATTTCTAGGCAGAGCTTTCAGCATATCTTCTAATTTCCCTGTTTGCAGAATGGTGTCTCTGGATGCTACATTGTAACTCGGCTTTGATTGGGTCCTGTGTTTACATTTACTGCATGTAGTCCATGCATTAGATGTGAAGCGCACTTCCCACAAGGCACAGCAGAGGGCAGCAGTGGCAAGTTGTTCGTCTTCATCTCACTTTTCTTCCAAGCTCATTCTTACTGTCCACACAGCCTTCTCCACACTTGCAAAGCTCTTTGAACATTTTATTTAGTTTTCTATTCTGCATTTCAGGCAGTGCTTCCAATTGTTTTCTTTTTAGGAATATACTGAATAAAATTGGAGTTCTTAATTTAAAAGTTTTATAAAAATAATAAGTAAAAATAATTATTAGGTAAAGTGAGTAGTTTGTGGGATGTTTAATCCTGGTGGCATTCTAGAGTGTGATTTGAGATGAAAATAAACTTAAAATGTTTTGGTTATGTTTTTAATTAAAGCTTTGGGATGTGAAATCAGCAAATGAAAGGAAAAGCATTAATGTGAAGAAGTTCTTCCTAAGTTCAGAGGAGCCTCCAGAGGATATGGAAGTGATAGTGAAATGTTGTTCGTGGTCTTCTGACGGTTCTAAGATAATAGTGGCAGCAAAAAATAAAATCTTCGTAAGTACCAATATTTTAAAAAGCCAAAGTTAAAGAAAATTAAAACTTCTGTTGATTTTTGCATTTTTACATTGTTTATTGTAATAAAAAAAGTATAGCTACATGATTTGGTTCTGTTGTTTTAGGGGATGTTGATAGGCCTTGTGTCCCCATGGTCATACAGGTTTAGGAATGGAATGTGTTGCTTCTCCCTTATAGTAATTAGTGTGACTATTTAAGACTCCAAGAAGTCCTACAATACATAAACAATTTGTGTTGTTTAATCCGGTGTTCCTCTGGTTTATTAAGAGCATAGAATACTTTCTGCATCACTTTTTGTTGTTGTTTTACAGTTTTGAATATGTTGGTTTAGGTGATTAAAACTTTTTTTTTTTTAATCCTTACCTGAGGACATTTTCATTAATCTTGGAATGAGAGGAAAGAAGAGAGAGAGAGAAAAAGAGAGAAACCTCAATCGGCTTCCTCCCGTAAGCACCCAACCTAGGGATCAAACTCACAACCTGGGTACATGCCCTGACCAGGAATCGAATCTGCAACCATTTGGTGTACAGGACGATGCTCCAACCATCTGACCAGAGTTTAGGTGGTTTCCAAAGGGCTTTCTTATCCCTAAAATTTTGTAATTTTGTGACTGATAAGCAAAAAATACTCATCAATCTGAAGACATTGGTGAGATTTCTATGAAGTAAATGAAGAAGCTTTGCAAAAAAGTAAGAGACAAGGAAATGCCTCCCTCCTCTTTCAAATCTAATAATAGCTTATATTTGTAATTTCTTTTCATATAAATACCCAAGCAGATTGCAATTGCCCAATGATAATAATAAGAAAAATGAGGTTTGTTTTATTTATCTTAAAATATATTTTATTGATTTTTTACAGAGAAGAAGGGAGAGTGAGAGTTAGAGAAACCTCAATCAGCTGTCTCCTGCACACCCCCTACTGGGGATGTGCCTGCAACAAAGGTAGATGCCCTTGACCAGAATCGAACCTGGAACCCTTGAGTCCACAGACCAACACTCTATCCATTGAGCCAAACCAGTTAGGATGTCAAATGAGGTTTAGAACAGCCAAGAAATTTGTTCAAAGTTATATCATAACTTGGAGAGACAAGTTTTATGGCTCAGCAACATTCCATTCTAACAGTAATTTTAGAAGATTTGAATAAGAGATATTACAATTTCATTTTTAACTTTATTGAGGTATAATTGACAAATAAAATGTAAGATATTTGAAGTGTATAATATGATGATTTGATGTATCACCATACACTATGAAAGGATTCCCCAATCAAAATAATACAACTGTTATCTCACATGTTTACCTTTTTTTGATGAGAACATTTAAGTTCTATTCTCTTCACAAATTTCAGTTATGCAGTAGTGTCCTTAACTATAGTCACTATGATATACATTAGATCTTCAGACCTTATTCATCTCATAACTGAAAGTCTGTATTCTTTTACTAACTTCTCCCTTTTCCCCTCATTTCAGATATTACATTTTAAAGAACACATTGAAATATACCATATGGTTATATAAAAACCCATTGAGGGACTGTTTGTGTTATTATTATCGATTTAGTAGCTATAACCCTTAGTTTTTTGATGAACCACCACATTTTTCCATAGCATCTGTACCATTTTATATTCCCACTAGCAATGTACCAGAGTTCCAATTTCTCCACATCCTTGTCAATACTTATTTTCCTTTATTATATTATAATCACCCTATTACATGAGACGGTATCCCATTGTAGCTTCATTTGCATTTCCCTAGTGACTAACGGTGTTGAGCAGTATTTGAACATTTTAAAAGAAACGTTACATTGAGAAAGGAAAATAGTTTTATATTGCATGAAATGCCTTCTTAGTTTAAAAATCTAGACCAGCTTCTTATTTTACCTGCTAAAATAAAGCTTCTCTAAGATTGCCCTTAACTACATGTAGATCCCAATTTCTTACTTTTGGTCTCTCCATTCCCCTCCTGTTATTTCTTTCCAACTCTTTTGTGTTGTTAGTTCACACCTATTGTTAGGTATCTTCTGTTTGCTATTCAATAATCGAAACAGCTGCCTGTTTCATATTTGCCAAGTTTCCTCTCTCACTCTCAGCCATTAATTTTTAAAATTGACCTGTCCTGGAAGGCATTTTAAGTATAATTCCCTGTCCTTTGTGATTGGCCCCTGTGCTGCTTACCATCTGTCATGGTGCATTCTGGGACATTTTCTTGGCTTCCGCTGAAGCTTATTTCCCTTTGCAAGACTGCCTTATCCTTACATTGTTATACTGTATATATATATATTGGTATAATTTGTATCATTTGGAAAAAATTTTGAAGAGTATACTCAGCACTTAAAAATATTTCAAAATTGAAATGAAATTTGAGTTACTCAAGAGTAGCTCTTCTTTGCTTAAAAAATGGGAAAATGATTAATTATAATGGAGTAATTTGATAGCTCTGAAGAGAACTAGAAATGATTGAGCTAATTTCATTTTGGCAAGCCTCTGTTATATATTATTTTGATTGTCTTCATTTCTGGTTATCTATTTTCTCTTTTGAATAAATAAGCATTAGGAAGAACTGCTCTGTATGTTAATTTGGCTACTCCAATTTTTTCACAGGGCTTCTGTTTCTCTCTAGGCCAGAAAGATCATCTGTGATTAATTTTCCTTTATAGGAAACATGTTTTAATATGAGTGATAATTTAAGAGTATAAGTATATTGATTTATATCTTACTTATGACTGTTAATATGCTAATTATTAGTAATTATAGTGTATTTTCAGGATTTATACTTTATATTGGAAATGGGAGGATAGTCTTTTAGAAATAAATTTCGATTCAGTTTGAGTATAGCTTATTTTAAAAAATATCTTACTTTCATAGCTTCTCTCTTTTTTATGTTGACAGCTTTTTGACATTAATACCAGTGGCCTATTGGCAGAAATCCAAATAGGCCTTAATAGCACCATCCGGTACTGTGACTTCTCCCCTCATAACCACTTGGCAGTGGTGGCTTTGTCCCAGTACTGTGTGGAGGTGAGTAGTTGAATTTGTGCTGTGAAGTCTGGGTCTCCAGTGGTACAAGGATGATGAAGAATGGGCTGTTTAAACCATTAACTGCTGAGGATGTTTGCTTGGGAAATTGTATTTTCTTCATCTTTATTACTTTATTAGGTTAAAGACTTGACTGTATGACAGATCATACTGGGAATGACAGTATTATTCACCAAGTATTTGTTGGATGGGTAGTATGTGCCATGGTCTGAGGAAACAGTGGAATGACCACTGGTTTTCAAAGCAGAAACAAAGCATCTCTTAAACCAGTGGTCCGCAAACTCATTAGTCAACAGAGCCAAATATCAACAGTACAATGATTGAAATTTCTTTTGAAAGTCAAATTTTTTAAACTTTAACTTCTTCTAACGCCACTTCTTCAAAATAGACTCACCCAAGCCATGGTATTTTGTGGAAGAGCCACACTCAAGGGGCCAAAGAGCCACAGGTGGCTCTCGAGCCTCAGTTTGCCGACCACTGTTTAAACAATAGGCATAGGCTCTTCTGTAAAAGTAATGATGAGAGATGAGTCCAGTTCAGATTTTTTAGAGAAGGATAAGATGGAAGATAAATTTATAGTTGTTTAACGAGGATGTTCATTGCTAAGCACTAATGAATAAAATGACTCTTGTATTTATAATTTAGCATTTACCTGATAGGTTTATATTCAGTCTGTGCCTCTAGCCTTGGGAGAATCCCACCCAGTGAATTGCTATATATATATTTTAAAAACAATGAATTCCCTTATATTTTCCTCCAAAGATGGATTTGTTTTTCCATTCTTTGTTACTACTCATTTCTTTTTCTTTTTAAAAAAATATATTTTATTGATTTTTTACAGAGAGGAAGAGTGAGGGACAGAGAGTTAGAAACATCAACGAGAGAGAAACATCGATCAGCTGCCTCCTGCACACCTCCCTACTGGGGATGTGCCACAGCCAAGGTACATGCCCTTGACCAGAATCGAACCTGGGACCTTTGAGTCTGAAGGTCGATGCTCTACCCACTGAGCCAAACCGGTTAGGGCACTACTGATTTCTTAAGTGGTTCTTACTACCAGGTAATTTGAAGTCCCCTCTGATTACTGCCCAATAAAATGAATATGGGCCTTTATCTGGAAAATTATTTGGTACTCAGGTTCTCTTCAAAGGAAGCTTGATTACTGCAAGCACTTCTTTAGTGTTCTGTGCTTATTTCAGCAATTATAAGTGAATTTTCCGATCTTGCCCCATACTCTGAAGGTGTGTGTGTATGTGTTTGTATGAGAGAGCGAGAGCGAGAGTGAGAGAGAGAGAGAGTGAGAGAGAGAGCTGCTGAGCTATACGCGTTCAGTAAGGAGATACAGATGAAATGAGAGTGAATGGATGTGTTCTGTAAGCTCCTCCTAATTCTCTAAGTTCATCAATGCAACTAACACTGAAGAATTTCCCTGCTGAGATTCATTGCATTGGGAGCAGAGGAGGTGGTTGGGAACAAATTCCAATCCTGTTAGGGACAGTGGGAAGTAGGGTGCTATGAGCAGTGTTCTCTTGGTAAGGCCTTGGATTGAAAGATTCAGTTCCGCTAGGAATCTTGCATTTTACCTGTAGATCCTCAAGGTAGATGTGGTTGGAAATTTCCCCTTTCTGGATTTTTTTTTTTAATCCTCACCTGAGGGTATTAAAAAAAAAAAATCATTATTATTATTGACTTTAGAGAGTGAGAAAGAAACATCAATGTGAGAGAGAAAGATCTGTCCGTTGCCTCTCTTAAGTGCCCTGAGTAGGGATCGAACCTGCAACCTTTTTGGTATATACACCAACCAACCAGTCACCTGGCTAGAGCCTTCTCTGGGTTTTGTCAGGATTTTTAGGAAGTTTGGAGATGCAACCTGTCTTTCTGCTTTTCCTGTCACTTCTAAAATTTTTATACTATTCTTAGAAAGCTCCAAGGGACATTATCTTTCTTCTTGAAATACAGGGATGAGGTTTGGGAGGCTCTGGGTAACAAAGAAATGATTGGATGGGGAGGGGGGGAACTAGAAGGGAAGAGAGGGAAAGATTTCAAGGGAGATTTTTTAGTAGTATAACCACTTTTTTCTCTATGTCCCACCTTGGATTCTAAAGGCAAGGCAGAGAAAATTTCATGTACTTAATTTGTAGCCATAGAACTCACTGATTGAAAACCATTGGGCATGTGATGAAGCACTTGTATGTCCATGCTATTCTGAAATCATAAAGTAGGTCTGTAATTCAGACTGTAATGAGAGGAACTCGGGCACATATGGTACTTCATTAGACTGGAATATATTTGAGTCATTTACAGCAGTACTGAGGACAGAATACAGCCCGGCTGATGGTAGACACTGACAATTTGTAACAAGCATGAATAACAGGAGAAATGTGTACATGTACAATTAGTACCTTCATTTGTTTTAGGATTTTGCAATCAGTTGAAATGAGGATTAGATGACAGTGGAAAATAGTCTGAACATAGAAGCTTCTTGTGTTCATCTATTTATTAAATTGATTTAAAAAAAAAACCACATAAAACGTTTGCATGATTCTAAACCAAAGCTTCATAATAAGTTATATTCAGATAAGTCATCTTTCATCACTGTCCCTTTCCCTCCACTCTTTTCCACCCCTGTCCATAGATAACCTTTTTGGTTTTTGTTTAATATTCCAATGTTTCTTTTTGCATATATAAGCAAGTATTTATATGTACTGTTTATCTCCACATTTGTATCCATTTATATATTTACGTTTCTTATTTTGTATTGCATAGCATGTACATATACATATGTGTATATATTCTTCCACAGAAATATATATACTCTGCTTTGTTTTTATAAACAGCATTGCCCAGAAACTAGTCATATCAGGATGTTTTTCTCATTACTTTTTTTGGCCTCAGAGTATTCCTTTAAACGGGTAATACATGTAGTTTATTCATTGGTCCTGTGGGTCATTTGGGTTGTTTCCAGTTTTTTTGCTTTAAAAATATTAAAATGCTCTGGCCAGGTGGCTCAGTTGGTTGGAGTGTTGCCCCATGTACCAAAAGGTTATGGGTTTGATTCTAGTTAGGGCATACAACTAGGCTGTGGGTCCTGTCCCCAGTTGGGGTGTGTACAGAGGCAATAATCAATGTTTCTTTCTCTCTCTCTCTGTCCCCCTTCCTCTCAACTCAATAAACATCCTAGGGTGAGGATTAAATCAATCAATCAATCAATTAATTAATTAAAATAATGAAATTAATAAATAGTTTGCAGAAGTCATTTAATATCTATAATAATTAAAGTATAATATGCTAATTAGACTGGACAGCCGACCGACCTTTGGGAAATTTTTCTGGACGAAGCCGGGGCTGTGAGGGCCGAGCCCCTTGAATGAATTTCAAGCACCAGGCCTCTGGTACATATATAAAATACTTATGAGTGTGACTTCCTGTATGCTGTTTATTCTATAGTTGTGGAATGTGGACTCCGGTTTAAAAGTGGCTGATTGCAGAGGACATTTAAGTTGGGTTCATTGTGTAATGTTTTCTCCTGATGGATCATCATTTTTGACATCTTCTGATGACCAAACAATCAGGGTGAGAAATACTGACATTTTCATTTTAGACATTTATTGATGGTAAGTTAAACCTCCTACAAACTAAAAAATTGATGGGCAGTATCAGGGGAAGTAAAATGGGAAACCAGTACATTTAGATTTATACTTGAAAAATATTATATGGACATAACAGTTTCATTCATTTAGGACATGTTTCATTGAGTATTATCATGCGCCAGGTGTTGGAGGAATTCAATGATTAAACTGTATTTTGGTTAATTTAAATATATTACATTTGATTCCTCAGAGTAGTATTGACTATTTCCTCTACCTTCAATTCCCACATCAAGTTTCTTGCCAAGTCCGATGGGTTCCACCTTTCCATTTTCTATAATTTATTTCTACTTTCCCATTTCAAGTTTAGGTACTCATTACCTGTTGCCTCTCTTGTATTAGATTCTGTCTTGGTTTTCTACTTGCTACTTCCAAGATATTTTCTTCAAAACAACAACAACAGCAGCAATCAGATAGTGGCTCCCTTGCATGCCAAAGTAAATGTGTACTCCTAAATCTCCCATCAAATTTTTCTACATTATGGCCTCATTCTGCTGCAGTCCGTCTTCTAGTTTATTTCTGTAGGTGACCTACACTAAACTGCTCACATTTCCCCAAACATCTTGTAGTTCCCTGCCTCTTTACTTTTGCTTATGTGGTTTCTTGTATTTGGAATACCTGATTTCTCCATACCTCTCCTTATTAAAATCCTAATGGTCCTACAAGCCATAAGACTCCTCTGAAGCTTTTTGTAGTGTTCCATTTGGGGCACTGTCTCTCCTCAGAGTGCCCTGTAACTCTTAAGTCATTTTCTTAAGATACTCCCCAAATCCTGCCTTGGACTTCGGTATAGATTTGATTTACTCCTCATCTCTAATACTCTGTTGCTCTTCTGACTTGTGCACACAATTTAAATGATCAACTTGCTGAGACCAGGCACTTTGGTTTGTCTTTGTAGCTTCCAGTACAGTGTTTTGCACAAATTGTAACTAAAATTCAATTGTAGTACTTACTGTATGCCTGATGTCATGCAAAGTGCTATACATGTGTTTGCTAATCCTCACAACAGTCTTTTGTGCAGCTGAGGAAACAGACACAAAAAGGTTAAGTCAGCGCTACGCAAAGTGCCAGTCTCAATAAGCTTGAGCCAGAAGGATAATCCGTGCATTGCTTCTTTCACCAAGGAGTCTTGTTTAAAAAATCACTAAGTACACTGTTAACAGTGTGTAGTGTAATAGAGTGGAATTACATTCTGGTACAAGCCCCTTATCTTGGTATCAAACAGTTTGAGAACCAACAGAAGGTTCTTATCTTTGAATAGCATTGCGTTTACATAATCTGCCTAAAGTTACAGGTTGAGCTAGAATTTACACTAAGGTATTTGGGCTCTAGCACCCACCACTTTAATACCAACTGCTTCTTACTATAGCATGTACAAGCAGTTCTCGGGTTATGTTGTTTCGTGGTTATGTTGCCATCTCCCATTTATTAAAAAAAAAAAATCCCGTCATTTCAATGTATTTATTTACCTCAAGTAAAGGTCAGGAATTATCTTTCTTTTAAATTTTTTTTACTGTTTCACTTTATTACTGCTGTGTATGTGCTCCATATGAGTGACGTAGGTGGGTTCCGACTTACGGTGAAAATCGTGTTACATTGCGCTATAGGAACGGATCTCTGATGTAACCCAAGGACCTATTGTAATTAATAAATGTTTATTGTTGAATTATAATCTAATGAGTGAATATTTTTTAGCATGATTGACATTTTGAGTATAAACCTTGTTTTGTATTTTGCTAGGGCTTGTCTTTATTAAGATAAGAATAATACAGTAATCTTATTTTGTTTTTTAAAATCTTTTAATCAGCTCTGGGAGACAAAGAAAGTTTGCGAGAACTCTGCTATAATGTTAAAGCAAGAAATAGATGTTGTATTTCAAGAAAATGAAGTGATGGTTCTGGCAGTTGACAATATAAGACGTCTACAAGTGAGTATTTTTTAGAAAACAATTGAAAAATTAAAAAATTAAAAAAAAAAGTATTGTTGAAAGAATTACATATGTCCCCTTTTTCCCCCTCATTGACCCCCCTCTAGCCCTTCTCTGAGTTCCCCCACCCCAGCCCATTACCACCCCATTGTCTGTGGCCATGGGCCATGCATATATGCATACAAGGATCTTGGTTGAACTCACAATTCACAATTTTTTCTTGTTTGGTTTTGGGCTTGGGTTCAGGCACAGTTGTCTAGTTTCCATCAGATGCTCAGGTATCAGTTGACTAAGTATATAGGTCTTGAGCTGAGACTCAGATAGTATTTGGAAACACCTCATTCCTTTTCTGTTGGTATCGTGGTCACGTGCCTTGATTTGCATGGTGTCTAGGCTATCATGAGGACAAACTTGAACTTGTCCACATCAGTGATTTAGACATGTCAGTTGGAGTATGCAAGGGGGATGGGCATACCAATGGGAGTGTTATTGCAGGGAAATGATAACAGGGTCTTTGAAAGAACAAAGTCACATCAAGTAAGGAAGGAATCTGACCCATTGGAGCTGAGCTGGAAGGAGCTGGGCTTCACATACTGAAATACTCCTGTTTATTCACTCATTTTCTCACACATTTGTTCAAAAAATATTTCTTGAATGCTTCTTATGTTCTCTGAAAAGTTTTTAAAAAATATATATTTTTATTGATTTCATAGAGGAAGGGAGAGGGAGAGAGAGATAGAAGCATTATTGATGAGAGAGAATCATTGATCAGCTGCCTCCTGCACGCCGAACACTGGGGATTGAACCCACAACCCAAGCATGTGCCCTGACCTAGGAATCAAACTGTGACCTGGTTCATAGGTCGACGCTTAACCACTGAGCCATGTTGGCTGGGCAATAAAAGGTTTTTAAGGCAAAATTGAAAAGGCTTTGTCATTTAGCGATACAAACAGATGTACCCTAGATCTTGCCCCTCAATGAGTGGGACACATAAGAGGAAGGCATTTCTTAAAAAAAAAAAAAAAAAAAAAAAAAAAAAAAAAATATATATATATATATATATATATATATATATATATATATATATATTTGACTTTTTACAGAAAGGAAAGGAGAGGGATAGAGAGTTAGAAACATCGATATCTGAGATTAGGGCAAGGAAAGCATTTCTTGACTGGCTGATGAGGAAAGGTGCCCCAGAGTCAGGTCCATGGGCAGAGGATTGATAGGAGTTTTGAGTGTTGGTAATTGAAAGCAGACATCTTCAGGATCATTGGGTTTAAGATAGGTAGCAAGAAACGTGAGAGAATGCGATGAGATGGTGAAGCAGAGGTAGAAGAAAGAGAGAAACAATAGAGAAGAAGAGAGAGAAATAGCAAGGGCTTTAGACAAGAGACAAGCCAAGAGTAGGAAAGCTGAACATGTTCTAGTGCTGCAAAGCTCAGCTTGATGTAGTGGAGAGAACAGTGATTTCACTCAGGAGACCCAGGTTCAAGTCCCGGCTATATTATCATCAGCTAGTTCTGTGATTGGAGTAAACTGCATTCCTTCTCTGAGCCTCACTTTCTTCAGAAGTCTGTGAGCTGGTTATATGGTCAAGGTGGAATTAAATCCAGGAGACAAGTACCTGGGAGTAAACTGCCTATGTATGGCATGTGGTAGTTTTTCCTTGTCTACTGTGGAGGTCAGTCAAGCTGTGAGACACACCTACATATGGCTTGTTCTGTATTTTACAGATTTTACACTCGTCCTTAATATGTTGATGCGGGTCATCTGATGCCCTGTATTTCTGGGATGAATTGGGATTTGGGTTGAATGTGAATTCCTCACTAATTTAGCAAACTGGTTCTTGGGAGATTTTTCAAGTGCAGTTTTCTTGTCTTTAGTGTCCTCATGCTTCTGTTTTCTTCATTAAACTTGTGCAACCTTTCTTTAACAGTTATATCATTACTATGAGACTTAAAAAAATTATCTATATATATAAAAGCCTAAGTGACTGTTACGACCGGTCCACCGAACAACTGGTCGACCGGTCACTATGACACTCACTGACTACCAAGGGGCAGACGCTCAATGCAGGAGCTGCCCCCTGGTGGTCATTGCGCTCTCTCAGCCAACCTCCCACAGTCCCTCTCCCCAGCTGGCCTGCTCCTTCTATCAGGACTGGGTGAGACAGCTCTGATCAGCCCCAATCCCCAGCCAGGCTAAGGAACTTCACACAAATTCATGCACCGGGCCTGTAGTCTGACTATTGCTATTTTATTCTATGGCAATGATGTGGGAGACTTTTGAGGATAGTTTTTTCCCCTCTTTTTAGAAGCTCAGCTGTTTAAGGACAAATAATAGTTGCTTTAAGTGAACAAAACATTTTTAGTCACTTTTAAAAAAATATGAAAATCGATTTTTGAGAGAAGGTATTACACTTTTAGAAGTTCCATCTTTATTTTGAATGTCTACTAGATCAGGACATGCTGGGTAAAATATTGTAAAGAAAAAGCTACCTTGATTAATTGACCCTAAAATCTTGTACTTGAAATAAAGATTACTGCTTATTTCATACTAGAGGCCTGATGCAGGAAATTCGTGCAAGAGTAGGCTTTTGAAGCTGCTGCGGCTGCCTCGATCCCTCCCTTCCTTGCAGCTGTGGTGGCTGCCTTGATCTCGGGACTGCAGCCTCGGCTTTGTCTGAAGGGTCATCCGGAAGGATGTCCGGGCGGCCATTTGGTCGGTCATTTGGTCGATTTGCATGTTATGCTTTTATTATTATGGATTGAAAAATAATTCAAGACATTGATGTTGTAACACTCGGAGAGAAGTATCTGAAAATTGACTTAAGCTTGAGAAATATTTTCCTAGGTCACATGTTTTAATTGTGTGATAAGCTATCTTTATGAGGGGATTTAAAAAAAATAATAATTAGCATTGGTACATGTTATGAAATGTACCAACCACCCAAATTATGCTCATGGGTTCTTCTTCAATACTCCCTCTTTCCCCCAAAAAACGGGGAAAAAAAATTTATATTGTCTTGTAAGTGATTTGGAGATTACAAAACCCATTTTAATTTTAATTTGTCTTTTTATGTAATGTCTGTCTCAGTCTTGTTTTCACCAACCCCCTTGAATAATATCAGAAAAGTGTCTTTTTACAAACGATAGCCCTATTAAATTGGGCTCTGCGAAGAAATGGAAAACCAGGCTGTGGAGCTAGCTGTGGGGTTAGAGATCAGACAGCTGTGTCTGAGGTGGCGGGCACAGCAGCTGCTTTTTAAATATTTTAAAGCTCATTTTATCTTATGAAAATGTATTTGAACTACGAAGGTGAAATGAAAGGAGGGCAGGAAGTGCTAAAAGCAGCTGCTGAGACTAGGAAAGGGCTTTGTTATTCCCTTGGGCACTCTTGTTGGTTATTTTCTTTGTTTTATTATTTTTCAATTAAGGTCTCTGTTCCAGGAACAAAAACTGCTCTTTCAGACTAATAACTAATTGTGCCTTATTTTTCTTTAGCTCATTAATGGAAAAACAGGTCAGATTGATTATCTGACTGAAGCTCAAGTTAGTTGCTGTTGCTTAAGTCCGAATCTTCAGTACGTTGCATTTGGAGGCCACGATGGAGCCATTAAGGTATTCAGTTCTCAAATTCCAGTCAATCTGTGCAATATAGATATTTATTTAAAATTAATCATGTGTCTGGCATGTGGACATGTGCTACATAAATCTGTGATCTATTAGTCATTCTCCTGTTAGACCAAAGATACTCTTAAATTATGTTGGTTGTATATTTTCAGATCGCCTTTACTACTGTTTCTCATGCTTTTTGTCTTTTTGTGTTCCTTATTCTCTACTTAGCTGTTTTGCTGTTTTCAAAGTATATCAAATACTATCAGAGCTTCTGTTACTATGTAAAGAGCAATTTCCCTCCTCTTCTTAGAAGTTCAGCCGTTTAGGGATAAGTTGTTTCCATTTTGGTACTGATAAGGTTTGTTGTGAATAGCTGTACAGGGTTACCTATTTTACCACCTCTTGCTGTTCTACTCTATACACCTGTTCACCACCTGAAATTCTTAACTAATCAAACAAGACCAAATAAATAATAAAAGCTGGTTAAATGACAAAAAGATAGTGTAACAAAAATCATTTTGGGTAAAAATGATTTTCTCACAGATGAAATTCATCACAAATGCGTATTTTCTCTAGTTATATAATAGTTTTTCTAAGAACATTGGCTTCTTCAACTTTTTCTTACCCAAGCTTTTTAGAATTAGTTCTTAATGTATTAATTAATTATTTATTAATATATTAATAGCGATATTTATGTTACTTTTTATTCATTTTTATGAGAAATTACACAAAATATTCTCCTGTCCATATTGACCCACAAAGGGGAGACTATATGTTTATACACAAAGTGAAAAAGAAAGCTTTTGGGAATTGATGTCAGTATTATGGAACTTTAGCCTTGTCTGTTTGTGCCATGGATTCAGAGCTAAGACTTTGGGTTTTCTTTTCATTATCCTGAAAAGTTATTTATTAATTGTGAAGATGGCTCCTACTCCGAAAAAGTGCATTGTGGATCTTTGTTAAGCATGGAACGATTGTACATTTATGGGTGAACCTTGCTCTTCTCTCTCAGTCTCATCTCTCAAATTTATACACAGGTATTATGATTTATTCCTAAAGGATCTTTGGCTCCCCTTCTCTTTTTTAGCTTGTTGCCAGCACTACATTCTTTTTGTTTTTACTATCTAATCTTATCCTTATCCCCCTCAAAGTCATCAAATAAATAACATAAGTGAATCATCTAAAATTACTGCTACTTAACTGTTTTTAACCTTTGAAATGACAATTTTATGTGATTCATCCTAGTAACATCAAATAGTAATAACAGCTACTATGTATTAGATGTTGACTGTGTCACATGCTGTCATTGGATGTTAGTTATTATTCTTGTTTTACAGATAGATGTCTGAACTCCTAGTTTCCACAACTTTATAAAATCAGTAAGTGGCAGAGCTAAGATTCAAACCCTGAGCTTCTGTGCACACTATTAGGCCCTTCCCCCATGGAATTATGAAATCCTCTATCCTCATTCAGGAAGGCTTTCATTCCCACAACCCCCTTTGCTTTTTATGGGACCTTATTTTAGATTTGAAGGTTAGGTTTGAATTCCTACAGTCTCCTATTTTATTATTATTATTATTATTATTATTATTATTTTAAATATATTTTACTGATTTTTTTACAGAGAGGAAGGGAGAGGGGTAGAGAGTTAGAAACATAAATGAGAGAGAAACATCGATCAGCTGCCTCCTGCACACCCCGTACTGGGGATGTGCCCGCAACCAAGATACATGCCCATGGCTGGAATCGAACCTGGGACCCTTCAGTCCACAGGCTGACGCTCTATCCACTGAGCCAAACCTGTTAGGGCTACAGTCTCTATTTTGGCATAATTTATATTTTCCTTAAGCTTCCTTGAGTACATTTTAATTTGTGCAAAGAAACCATATTTACTTTTTTGGGGAGGGGTGAGTTTATATGAAAATCTTTTTACATAGTCATTTTTTCTTCTGATTTTACATGTTACCACTTTGTTAATATCTGCATCTGGCATATTAATCTTTAGCCCTTTTAAGGCTTCTCAGTACAATGCCTTCCAGCCCACTCACATCCTCTTTTCCTTACCTGTCTCCCTCATTATCCTTTATCTTACCTTATCTCTGTGTTGTTTTATAAAGACCTTGCCATGTCTGTCATCCATCTTTTTTTTATTTATATTTTATTGATTTTGTACAGAGAGGAAGGGAGAGAGATAGTTAGAAACATCGATGAGAGAGTCATCGATCAGCTGCCTCTTGCACACCCCCTACTGGGGATATGCCCGCAACCAAGGTACATGCCCTTGACCAGAATTGAACCCGGGACCCTTCAGTCCCCAAGCCGACGCTCTATCCATTGAGCCAAACCGGTTTTGGCCCATCTTAAATGTCATTTTCTTTTTGGACGTTGAGCCCAGACTGCCACTTGTTTGATGAATTGGGTAGTTGAAGACTGAGAAGGACCACTGGTTCCTACTGCTATGTGATCATTCCAGTGAGTCTTACAGGAAGTTTAAGCAAGAAACTCACAAAACACACGTGTCTCATCCAGTGAGTGTTTTAATTTAGGGTGTGTGTGTGTGTGTGTGTGTGTGTGTGTGTGTGTGAAAATGTGTGTGCACAAGCACATTGGTGTGCATGTATGGATGTGTATCATTCATTTGTGGCATTAGTTAAATTGAAAGTACTATGAGATGGAAGTTTTTTTTTTGTTGTTTTTTTTTTGAGATGGAAGTTCTATACCCTTCTGTAATTGATTTAATAACTTTAGGGTGATAAGATTGGGTCTTGCTGAGTTTCTTTGCATTAATTTTCTGTGGTTTTCTACTTTGAAGATTTTAGAACTCCTAAACAACAGAATCTTCCAATCCAGGAATGGGCACAAGAACACTGTACGGCACATCCAGTTCACAGCTGATGGGAAGACTCTTATTTCAAGCTCTGATGATTCTACAATTCAGGTGAGAAGGAGGATAAACTCCTAACACATGTAACTCTGACTCTATCAAAGGAACACTTTGATTATGGCTCATATCTGGTGTAAATTTTAAACATTTATTTAACATATTACTGTGGGCATACATTCAGACTATGCACATTGCTTTAGATGAAACCCATTTATGTTTTAAAATTTTCTGTGGGTGAGGCAGGCAGTTTAACTTAGAATTCTCTATTGGAAGGTTGTTTATTTTTAAATCAAGGATTCATTTGAATTCTCCCATCTGCCTTGGTATTTGGATTTGTATCAATAAATACTTTTTGCCACATTTATGTAATGCCTCTTTATTTTTCTTTATAGCAATAAAATCTCATTGAAATAATTTTATTCTCTCTTTTAAGGGGAAGATGTGTATTATAAGGATGAATCTTGGAAAAAGAATATCACCATAATGAATGATTGTGGCTATAAAGACCTTAAACCTTCTAAATGTTCTTTTAAAATTTATTTTTATCAAATTTCAATGTACATAAATTTAAGACTCAAGTAGTAGTATTTTAAGGCTTATTATGAAAAACAGACTCTCCCATTTCTCATATTCCAGAAGCACCACTTTTAGCTTTTGCTTTTGATATTTATCTTCATGTTCCATGTTGCATGCTTATAATACTAATTCTTGATTTCTATTTTCAGGATTTATCTACTGACCTCCTTATGTGAAAATTTGGCTTTTTTTTTTTCTTCTCCCATTTATCCTATGTATAATTTAGACATATGCCCTTTTATCAATCCTCACTATTTCTATATAACAAAATTTTGTTTAGGTCATTAGTGACATTATTATGACTAAGTAGACTAAGTGTATTATGAATGTCTTTCCTTAATGCAATTTAGGAAAGTTCTGCTTGTGAGTAGATGTAGCTGGAAATTATTTTACCCTAAAACATTGCTATTAATAATTTAATCAGAAGAATAATTTACACTATTCAAAGCTATTTTTGAAAAAGAAAATTTTAAAATATATTTTTATTGATTTCAGAGAGCAAAGGAGAGATAGAAACATCAATGGTGAGAGAGAATCATCGATTGGCTGCTTTCTACACGCCCCACACTAGAGATTGAGCCCACAACTTGGGCATATGTTCTGACTGGGAATCAAACCATGACCTCCTGGTTCATAGGTTGATGCTCAACCACTGAGCCACATCAGTCAGGCTATTTTGGAAAATTTTAATGTTATATCTTTGGGAGTCCTATTTCAGTACAGAAATTTATCATAGGCTCCCATGGTACTGGTGTATTAGCTGTGAAACTTCGTGAAATATTCATGCTTTTTCCTTTCTATGGCTTTGAAATGGGTAAAACTAAACTACATCTGATGCAATTCTGTTGAGACATTGTATACTGTATAGCCTTTCTGTCAAAAGCTCATTTCAGGGGTTTTATGTCCTGCTTAAAGATCAGATATTTTCAGCCAGAGGGAGAAATGTTTTCTAGGAAAATCTTTGGTATTGGAGTTAGATTATTTTTAGAAATATAATAAGTTAAGTTGTGTTTCATCCTCTTTTTTTCTGCTCTACTATAGGAATACTTTTTATATTTAAAATGTTTTTTGAGTATACATTTATGTAACAAAACTCTTGGTAGGTATTTCCAAGAATAGACTGGTTGAGTTTTAGGTGAACTAAAGTTATTGCTAACATTGGAAGAATTAACTTTTCTGATTTTAGCACCCAGAGTTGTGAAAATTGAGGTCTAACTTGGTAGTTTTTAGTTCTTTACCTTGATATGCATGAAGCCCAAGTGGCATACATTCTCACCTGAATCAGTGTATGAGGATGTATGATTTTTTGGAGGTAGAAGATTCTTCAGCATTTTTTAAAATTTAAATTTTATTATTTATATAACTGACAAAATTCTACAGTATAAATACATTGCAAAAATTATATCAAATGGTACAGACACCCCCAAACTCAGCCTTACACTTGATCTTAGCCAAAAGGCCGAGAAGCGATCAAACTCAGCCTTAATATACTTCACTAATGCTGGTAGAAGTTTAGCTGTTATATAAGATGATTCAATTCAATATGTTTGAGCCCAATAACAACAGAAAATATCCCTGTCATCATTGCCTCATCAAAAAGCTCCTGCTCTGGTATCTCAATCTCCCATTCAAATAATTGCTAAATTCTTTGTTTTATCTGCTCAGGAAGGCTCTCTGACTTCTTGATGTGGAGCATAGCAATAAGAACATAAGGCAGGCCTGGCTGGCATTGCTCAGCGGTTGAGCATTGACCTGAGCACATGCCCGGGTTTGCAGGCTGGATCCCCAGTAGGGGGCGTGCATGAGGCAGCCAATCAACGATTCTCTCATTGATGTTTCTATCTCTCCCTCTTCCTTTCTGAAACTAATCAATAAATAAACAAATCTATACTAATAATAGAGGAATATGCAAATTTTCCAGAACACCATCATGTAACAACCAATCAGAATGGGGTCGGGGCTTCTCAGCACACCTGCGCTGGGAGCCCAAAGGGCATGGACAGGAAGGGAGAGCAGTTAGGCAGTTAGGGGGATCAGGCCAGGAGGGGAGCGCAGATAGGCAGTTAGGGGGATCAGCTGGGAGGGGAAAGCAGATAGGCAGTTAGGGGGATCAGGCCAGGAGGGGAGAGCAGATAAAGCGATCAGGCTGGCAGGGGAGAGTAGTTAGGCAGGTAGGGGGATCAGGTCAGGAGAGGAGAGCAGTTATGGGCATCAGGTAGGCAGGCAGGTGAGTGGTTAGGAGCCAGTGGTTCCAGATTGCGAGAGGAATCCCGGTTTGGAGAGGGTGCACTTATGTTCTTTATAAAGAACATAAGGCAGGAATGAACATGGAGTCAGACACAGCTGGGAATGGCAGTGCTGGTCAACCAGAAAGAGCTATTAATACTAGCCACTATCCTCTATTCCAATAAAGCCCAGAAAGTCCGGTGACAATGGTGTAGGATAGTTTATGTTTAATTGCACAGGTGCCTTTCCTTTCTGATATGATTTGGTGAGCCAGAAAAGCCCCCGGCATATCACTGGGTTCTTAAAATGCTGAAATTCCTAATTCATTCTCTAAGTTATTCTCACTTCCAGCTTCTCTTGCTCTCATAGAAGATACCTTGCCCCTGCTATCCTGTGTCTGTGAATGAGCACTCGGAGGCAGAAGAGTCGGAGAGAATCTGAGATCTAGGGCTCGGTGGGGAGGTGGGCTGCTAAATGTGGAGGAGAAAGGAGTAAAGAAAGGAGGGATAAGGGAGATGGCGTTTCTTTTACGGTTTTACCTAAGTCCAATAGGAAAAACCTTAAAGACATTTCTGCTTCTTAACCTTCACAGTCAAAACCAGATCTAGAATATTACTACTATGCATACTATGCATACCTGTAGTGGTGGCTGATTTCTAAAAATAGAAGAAAATTCAGTGGAGACCTGCCTGCTTGTCCACAGCTCAGATATCAAGCTCTGAGCTGTTTTGTCAAATATTTTTTCAGCCTTTTTTTTCCTACTGTTCCTCTGCATGTCCTGTACTCTAGCAAGATTGTGGACTATGAGCAGGACCTTATAATCTGTCCATGTTTTCCTGCTGCCACTCATGTCTTTTGTTTGAAATGCCCTTCACAGTTTGTGAACCATACTTTCAAACCATACCTCAAGCCTACTTTGAATGTATTTCCTCTGACAAGTCCCTAAGGAATCGCTTTTTTGAGTTCCACAGAACTTTTTTTTTTTTTTTTAATTTATTTTTATTTAAGTCAGAAAGGAAGGGAGAGGGAGAAATAGAGAGAGAGAAACATCAGTAATAGAGAATTATTGATCAGCTGCCTCCTGCACGTCCCCTACTGGGGGTCAAACCCGCAACCTAGGCATGTGTCCTTGACCAGAATTGAGCCTGGGACTCTTCAGTCCAAAGGCTGATGCTCTATCCGCTGAGCCAAAATAGTTAAGGCTAGTTCCACAGAACTTTTTTGTTTTTTTTAAATATATATATTTTATTGATTTTTTACAGAGAGGAGGGGAGAGAGATAGAGAGCTAGAAACATCGATGAGAGAAACATCACCAGCTGCCTCTTGCACATCCCCCACTGGGGATGCGCCCACAACCAATGTACATGCTTTTGACTGGAATCGAACCTGAGACCCTTCAGTCCGCAGACCAACGCTCTACCACTGAGCCAAACCAGCTTCGGCCAGAACTTTTATCTGTATCAATAGCGCTTCTATTTGTTTTGTTTGTTTGCTTTTGGGACCTCTCATTTTCTTAGCTAGATCCTTAGATTTCTTATTGCTACATTCTTGTTTCATTATTTGCCTGACATATAGGTGTTAATTAAATATTTGTTAAATTAATTTCAAGTCTAGAATTAATAAGACTATAAACATAGTTGCTTTGATTTAGTAATTAAGGGTTCTGTACATGGACATGACATAGAAGTAAAAGTTTTGCTTACCTATGTGCCTTACATTTTTTTTTACTGTATTTTAAAAATTGAATATTGGGGTGACATTGGTTAATAAGAATATATAGGTAGGTTTCAGATATACACATGTTTACCTATGTATACATACAAACATATGTATGTATGGCTTATTTTGTGCTAGTTACTTATCTTATTTCAGTTCCTTCTTCCCTTTTTCCTGAGGACTTTTCTTGGAACTCCATGTGAAAAATGAAAAATAATGTATATCTCACTTCCTTTGTCATTTTGAGGATTGCATTAGGTTATAGCTAAGATATCTGGATCTTGGAAATTCTGTGACCTTGTCTGAAGCTGCTCTGGTCAATTGACCTTGTCAGGCAGCAGCCAGTAGGATTCAATAGGTTTAGTGGAGCTAGACTCTCCAGACTAGCCTGGCTTATGAGGTTAGAAATCTGTAATTAGGATAATTTTCTCTGGAAAATTTAATCAGATGGTGAGCTCGCTAGCATGTGGTGGCTTTTCTCTATCTTCTGGTGTAATTAACTGCTCTTCAGCAACTGAAGAAAACAAATTTTATTTAGGAAGAAACTATATTTTATTTTACTCCTAGTCAAGTTATTTAACCTCAGGTTTTCTCTGTCTGTATAATAGGGCACCATATTCTTTCTAGGGGATCACATTCTCCCCACCCGCCCTCAGGCTATTATGGGGAGAATGTTATAACACTTACATTTTTTTTTTTTTTTTTTAATATTCAGGTATGGAATTGGCAATCAGAGGAATATTTCTTCCTGCAAGCCCATCAGGAAACAGTGAAAGACTTTATGCTCTTGAAAAATTCAAAACTGCTTTCCTGGTCATTTGACGGAACAGTGAAGGTAATTTGAAACAGATTTTCTTTTTCAAGTATTCTAATGTTGCAGTGATGATAATGGTGACGGCCAGAAGCAGATGGCTGATAAGTAACTACTTAATTTTCAAACTTGTGTTCTCATGTTGTTGTCAGTTGACTACGTGTTCTTTGTGTTTATGAACATCTGTACTGAAGGGCACGTAAAGGGGTCAGAACAACCAGTGTGCTAGCGCTCTTACTGTATAGGCCTGACTTCTAGATGATTATGTTCAGAAACACAGAATGGTCTTAAAAGTGTCAACTTGTGAGTTTTTCTTTGAAGGTATGGAATATCACCACTGGACGAATAGAAAAAGACTTTGTCTGTCACCAGGATACAGTGCTTTCTTGTGATGTTTCTCCCGATGCCACCAAGTTTTCATCTACCTCTGCTGACAACACTGCAAAGGTAGGGGGGTCAGCTGAAATGTGCATGCATAAAACTTTGGTATCAGTTATGTATTATGAGTCTTACGTATTATGAATCCAAATAATGTGTAAAGTGGAATAACATGTTTCTGTCTGCATGTCTGTCTTATTGTGTGAGTTTTTGGAGGATTGCCATTGGCCTTTAGTTGGTATCAGATAGATTAAATGAATAACATTAAGGACTTTCGATTTCTTCCTTCCTGGTTACTTTTATCATTACTAAGCAAATGCAATCTCTGCTGCATATTATAGGCAATAAAAAGCATTGGAAAAAGTTTACATTTAATTTCACGCCCATAGTAAGGTTTTTATATAATTGATATAAGTTGGTGTTCCTGAAAATCACATTTCAGTGAAATGGTGCTGCCTATTTGGGGACATTGAATACTCCATTTTCTTCTTTTTTATCCATCTTGTTAGTGGCATTATTATCTACCTATCTTTCCAAGCTATAAACCTTGGAATTGCCTGGGATTTTACCCTGTCTTTTGTGCTCTATTGATTACTTATTGATATATCTTGGACCCTTTTTCCCCTCCCTGCCCCCACATTTAAGACCAGGCTCTCCTTCCTTCATTGGTGGGCCTGCCTCTGGTCTGTGCCTCCTCCAGTTTATCTTTCCTACTGCGGTCTGAGTCCCTCTGAAACACCTCCCTGACCTGATGGTTTGTAAGCCAGATTCCTTAGCTCATCACCATCTCTTTCTTTTTTTGTTGTTGTTTTATTTTTATTTATTTTAAAAATCTTTGTTGTTTAAAGTATATGAATGTTCCCCCTTCCACTGACCCCTTCTAGCCCGCTCCTGCCCCCCAGCCCAGGGTCTCACCATCATTGTTCCCTCTGTCCAGGGTCCTTCTCCCTCCGACTTTTTGTGCATGCTGTAACTGTGGCTTGACATGACCTTCTATTCCTTTTTACCTCGGAGCATTTTGACTCATTCTTCCCTACCTAGATTTGGTGCCCGCTCTTCAGTGAGCACTTTCCTTGCCCTCAGGCAAGATTAGCTGCTTCACCGTCAGTGTGCCCATTCCATTTATCAGAGCATTTACTTCATACAGCTGTTCACTTAGCCATTCATAAGCCATTCATAAGTTCTGATTAAATTACAAACTTTTTAAGGATAGGGGCTATATCCAGTTCATCTTTGTATCATCAGATCTTAGCTTACAGTGCTTGGAAGATGGTAGTTTTCAGTCTGTGCTTGTTGAATGGTGATGACAGGATCATAAGGGAGAGTATTGGAAAGAAAAGAACTCTATTTGACTGCCAGGATTGTAGGATAGTATAGTGACTAACCTTTAAAGAACTCTTGTCATATGTTAGGCCCTGTGCTAGGAATTTCACTCTATTATCTTATTTAATCTTCACATCATCAGCACTTTGGTCCCCATTTTACAGATGCAGAAATTAAAGCAACAGCAACTTATGTGGATTACCTTAGGCCACAAGGAACTAGTAAATAGTGAAACCAGAACACACAGACTGATCTTTACTCATTTATTGTTCTTTCTTCTAAATCTAAAGTTAAGAACTTTGATCCTTGAGCTGAGTTAATTTGAATAATTAAAGGGAAACTCAACAGGGAACAAGGTTACAAGGGGGAACTTGGGCCTCTCAAGAAGGTTTGTGAATTTCCATATGATCAAGTTTGTGGTTAACTAACACTCAAGGCAGGGTTTGCAGATGCTTATTTTGAATGTATTTACTATTCCTAAACAATCCTAATTGCCTTCCAGATTTGGAGTTTTGAACTCCTCTCCCCTCTTCATGAATTGAAGGGCCACAAAGGCTGTGTGCGCTGCTCTGCCTTCTCTGTGGACAGCACCCTGTTGGCGACCGGAGATGACAATAGGGAAATCAGGGTAGGGTGTTCGCGATGTGAAGCTCTGCTCCTCATGTAGCTTGGGCCTACCCCCCTGCACCACATTGGGGACCTTTGTTGATGCGAGCGGGAAGCACTGGGTTCTGGACGGATGGGTTCTTTGTTTTTGTCTGTGCACGTTGTGTTCACAGCTGCACTGTACTGCAGAAAGAATTCATTTTAGAGCGAAGCATTTCCTATGTATGTGAGGAGGCAGATGCCCTAGTTATTTGCAGTTGGTTCTCTGCTGTTATCTTGAGGATGAGTCATCTTAATTCTTGGACCTGAACCAAAGGTTGTTTTTAGTGGTAGAACCTGGGGAAAATAATTTTGTAAATCATTATCTAGATTATAAATGAATTGCATATTTAGCTGTTTTTAGCACTGAAAAAAAACAAACATCTCTTTAGCATCATACCCAACAGTCAAGTTTTATAGTGTGGCCCATGGCAGGCCTCATGGCTGTCTGCCTCTGGTTGTTAGAAGGAGTGGGCACTTGATGGGAAAGGTTTGGGCACTGGGGATGGCTGCTATGGTAACCAGTATTTTTTAGGAGAGTCTTGTTTTTTTTTTCTTTTCTTTTTTATAAAAAAAGAATTTAAAATTCAAGGAGTAGGTATATAATGCAGAAGAAGGAGAGAGTCTGCAGTTGGCAAGAATGTAGGCATTCCCAGATAAGCTTTCCAGGAACAAGGAGATTCCCTGCGTGAGCACTGAGTAACCAGTCTTCTCTACACCGTTCTCATCAATGCCACGCCAGCCAAAGTGGCCGTGTGGGGCATTCCTTTTGCTCCAAGTTCTCATATTGGATGAAGGGTTCCTTTACTGGTTATGAGGCAGTGTTTCACTTTTCAGAAACCCTGAAGGAAAGAGTGCCTCTCTATAGTATATCTTAACGGAATTCTTTCTAATGAGCTTTTCCGTTTGATTCTTTTTTTGGGTACTTTTATGGCCTTATTTATTTATTTATTTATTTATCATTCATTCACTAATATTACTTTATTGAGGTATGCTTAGCATGTAAAAAGCTATACATAGCTAATGGAAACAATTCAGTGAGTTTGGCGATATATATATATATATATATATATATATATATACACACACACACACACACACACACACACACACACACACTCTTGAAATCATCACTACTATCAGGCCCTAGATATATTCATCACACCCCAAATTTCCCTCCCATTATTATTATTTTCTTTGTGAGTAGTAATAACACTTAACATAGGGTCTACCCTCTTCTGAGCACATTTTAAATACCCAATTCAGTATATGTATCTTGTATAACAAACTTTGTAACCTTTGACTATAACCTCCCCATTTTCTCTTCCTCTTAGCCCCTGACAATCATCATTTTATTCTCTGTTTCTGTGAGTTTGACTATTTTAGATTCCATTTAATTCTTTTTGATTTTTTATGCCTCTATTTTTTTTAACTTTTAATTCTTTTAGATTTAAAAGAGAGGGAGAGAGAGATAGAAACATCAATGATGAGAGAGCATCAGTTATCTGCCTCCTTCATGTCCCTACTGGTAATCGAGCCCATATCCAGGCATATGCCCTGACTGGGAATCAAACCATAATCCCCTGAGTCAAAGGTCAGTGCTCAACCACTGAGCCATACTGGCCAGGCAGTGCCTCTATTTTTTAAAATTTAAACTTTATTTTCTGCAAATCTTTTTTTTTTTAATCCTCAGCCTGAGGACATGCTTATAAAGAGGGAAGGGAGAGAAAGAGAGAGAGAGGGGGGGGAGGGAGGGGAAGAAGAAGAGAAAGAGAGAAAGAGATGTGAAAAAAAAGCATCAATTGGTTGCATATGCTCCCTGACTGGGGTTGAAACCTACAATCCAGGTATGTTCCCTGACTAGGACTTGAACTGGTAATCAACTGAGCCATTCCAGTTGGGCTTTAAAAAAAAGAAATCTGATATGCATTTCTTTGAAAAGTTAGAGTACTGCTTATATATTAATTGTTACTGGAAATAAGTGGGAATATTAACATCTGTAAGTAATTGGGTTGTTTATTAAGAGTCTAGTAAAATAATCAGGCATATTTAGAACCTTATTGGGACTTCTAGATTTTTTTGACTTCGTGTTTAAAATATATATGCTTTACATATTTAAATGACATCTGTCAACATTCTTAGTGGTTAACCTTAGAGTATAATTCTTTCTTTCTTTATTTAAAAATATATATTTCTTTATTGATTTCATAGAGGAAGGGAAAGTGAGAGAGAGATAGAAACATCAATGATGAGAGAGAATTGTTGATCGGCTGCCTCCTGCACGCCCTCAACTGGGGATTGAGCCCGAAACCTGGGCATGTGCCCTTGGTCGGAATCGAACCTGGGACCCTTGAGTCCGCAGGCTGATGCTCTATCCACTGAGCCAAACCAGTTAGGGCTAGAATTCTTTTTTAAAATAATTTGTTGGGGTGACATTTCTTGTTTTTATTTTGAGGAAGTTCATATGCTAGGTCTTTTTTGTTTATTTATTTCCCCCCCATTATTCTTTTTTTTTTAATTAAATGAAGAGAGTTACCGTATTTTAATCAATCACTCTGAGTCCTTTTATTTATTTATTTTTTAAAAACCTTTGGGAGTATGGTTAATGATAAATATTGTAAGCAATGCATTTGTGGTATAATTAGTATTTTTAAAAAATTTGAACAAGAGAGAACTCAATCTAAAAAAGTCCCAAAGGTATCATTGAATTGTAATTACATTTTTTAAGAAAGATTTTCAAATATGTTTCAGATGAGGTAGCTGTTTATAAAGAATTTCTGGGCAGCCTTGCTAATGAATTCTATCATGTTTATGTAGATATGGGATGTCTCAAGCGGTGCGCTTCTTCACTTGTGTGCCTCGATTTCCGTAGAAGAGGGACCTGCCACCCATGGGGGCTGGGTGACCGACCTCTGCTTTTCTCCCGATAGCAAAATGCTGGTCTCTGCTGAAGGCTACCTTAAGGTAAGAGCTCATTAAAGACTGAAAGAAAAGAACAGCCTGTATCCTACTGTGTAAGCTGTTTTCTTTTCCTGTTTCTCAGGGTGTCCTCATACAATCTGGCAGAGTGGAAGGGTGATTCCGATTATGCTGTTTTGCGGTGATGAGGCTGAGAGGTGCAAGGCCACCTTCCTCACATCTGTTGGAAGTTCTGGTGCCAGTGTGGGGGATGTTCTCAGTCCAGAGCTCACACTGCCATGTACAAAGTCTTAGAGGATCACAATGACTAGAGAGTGGGGTGTTTAACTTAGTTTTATTTTCTACTTCATAATTATTAACTATTTTGGTTGAAAGTCTTGAAACACATTTCTGAAATTTTCTTAAGTATTAGTAGTAGTGGTAATAGTATCCTATATCCTATGTAATAGAGAGGCAACTTGCAAATTGACCATCATTCCAACACACAAGATGGCCGCCCCATGTGGACACAAGATGGCCACCACAAGATAGCTGGCAGGGGAGGGCAGTTGTGGGAGATCAGGCCAACAGAGGAGGACAGTTGGGAGGGACCAGGCCTGCAAGGGAGGGCAGTTGGGGGTGATTGGGCCTGCAAGGAAGGACAGTTTGGGGGGACCCAGGCCTGCAGGGAAGGACAGTTTAGGGGGGACCCAGGCCTGCAGGGGAGGACAGTTAAGGGGGACCCAGGCCTGCAGGGGAGAGCAGTTGGGGGTGACCAGGCCATCAGGGGAGGGCAGTTGGGGGAAACAGGCCTTTAGAGAAGGGCAATTGGGAGGGACAAGGCCTGCGGGGGGAGGGGGAGCAGTTGGGGGTGACCAGGCCTGCAGGGGAGGGCAGTTGGGGGTGACCAGGCCAGCAGGGGAAAGCATTTAGGGGTTACCAGGCCAGCAGGGGTGGGAAGTTAGGGGTGAGCGAGTCGGCAGGGTAGGGCAGTTAGAGGCAAACAGGCCTGCAGGGGAGTGGTTAGGGGGTGCTCAGCTGGCAGGCAGAAGCAGTTAGGGGCAATCAGGCAGGCAGGCAAGCAGGCAAGTGGTCGGGAGCCAGCAATCCTGAATTATGAGAGGGATGTCCCATTGCCCAGCCCAGACCCCATTCAGCCTTTTATGCCCCAATCAGGGGCGGGGCCTGTTGGCCAAATTAACTGTACGCCTCCCCCCGCCCCTCCCATCCCCAGCCTGGCCCATGGGTCCCCATCAGGGCAGGCCAGCCTGACCCCACCCATGTACAAATTCATGCACCGTGCCTCTAGTTCTTTTATGGTTTATAAAATGCTTTACTTACATCATCTCCTCAGCCAGTTTTGTGAGGCCTGAATTTTATTATATTTGGTGTAGGGTGAGGAAATTGAAGTTCATGGAGAGTTGTGACTTCCCCAAAATTGTGCAGTCAATAAGTTGGCGTATACAAACTTACTATGAGTGACCACTGTGGCCAAGGCTGTGTGTTGCGGTGCCTCAGGGTCATTTTTTGGTGCTTGCATCTGTTTATCTGTCCTCTCAATAAGGATGTGTTAAATGCCACTGTGTGCCGAGACACTAGTATGTGGTTCCTGTCTTTGGTGGCATACAGTCTATGGTGGGGGAGCAGACAGTAAACAAAGTCTCTGAAGTGTAAGAGGGGTTCTGACATGTTTGCATATGGACAGTGGAGCCCAGAGGAGAGGCGGGTTAGCAGAGGCTTCCCGTGGAGGGGGATGCTGAGGGGAGGCTGCTGAATAGTGGTTTACTTAGAAAATGAAGATGATACTACTGAGCAGCGTACCGACCACTTACAATAGCTTTCTAGTAAATTAGATCTTCTGATACTGTTATCTCTGACTGAAGACATTTAAGTGTAGGAAATGATTCTGTCTAACACAATGTAGATGTTAAAAAATATTGGCACTAATGAAGTTTTTGGTTACATGGGACCCATGTAATTGTAATTTTACTCAACATAAAAACCTAGCTTATAAAAAAGGTAAAGAAGAGGGCAGTTTTTAATTCTGTGAGAGAATGTCCATGTGGTCCCTTTACAAGGGTGCATTGAAAATAGCCTGCTGTTGCCCTAGCTGGTTTGGCTTAGTGGAGAGAGTGTCAGCCTGTGGACTGGAGGTCAGTTGCCTCTCACCATACACCAAATATAATAAAATTCAGGCCTCCCGGGTTCGATTTTGGTCAAGGGCACATGCCTAGGTTGCAGGCTCGATCCCCAGCAGGGTCGTGCCAGAGGCAGCTAATCAATGATTCTCCCTCTCCCTTCCTCTCTGAAATCAATAAAAGGGATAAACAAATACCATGCTGTTTGCAAGATGTTGCATTAACCTATACTTTTTGGGGGCATGCCTTTACTTAGTTATTAGGGATTGTCAGGCTGTCACCACTTGTCCCCCTTTACTGCTCTGAGGATGATGCTGAGAAGAGTGGCATTGCTATTTGTGTTGGGAGCTGGGAATCTTGATCTTTATTAACTGCTAAAAGCTGCTTTGGCACTGAGCTTCTAGAGACCATGTCACTTGATGCTGTGGGCGCCCTCAAAGGCTCATCCATGTTCATGAGCCTGGCTTACAAGATGGGATAGAGATCAGTGACCAGGTTTCCAGAATTCTTGGGGGACTTTGAAACGAAGCCACAGCATAGATGGCTGTGCTGTAGGGGTTTTGCCTCATGGGTGAGAGAACCTTTCACCTGCGTATTCAGTCTCTGTTATTTAGGTGACAATCAGGCTGCTCTTCCCTCTGGTTAAGCTGATTATGATGCAGCCCAGCCTGCATCTCCCCAGCGTGGTAATGAAACTCTCCAAAGCACAGAGCAAATTAAAAGTAAAAAGGAGCAGCTGCTGCAGTGTCCAAGAAAATGGGCCTTTTGAATCTGTTTACTCTACAATCCAAGTTGCATAAATTGAATGTCAATAAGATAAAGTAGGTATCCAGTAGCTAAAATGCTCTTAACTTTCCAAATTGTTCCTATTTCTAAGTTAAAAATGATATAATTGAGCTGTCTACCTGTGTTGTGCCACAGGGCATGTATACTGTTAGAATGACAAGAAATCTGCATTAATTCATACTCATGAGGAGAAAGGCTGGTTTGAGATATAGAATACAGGGAGGTAAATGTAGGTTTGCTGTTGCTTAGAGGCAGCAGAGTGTGATGGTCAGGAGAGGGCCTTGGGGCAGACTGCCTGAGTTCAAAGCCCGGCTCTGCTACTCATTAGCTTTGTTAAGTTAATAATCTAATTAATCATAAGATTATTAAACTCTCTGTGCCTTTGTTTTTTCATCAGTAAAATGGGCACAATGATTTTGACCTCAGGGTTAGGCGCATTAAAGGAATTAATACATATAAAGCATCCAATATAATAAGAGAGGAATATGCTAATTATTCGTTACACTGCGAGGTGTAATGACTGACCACGTAACAACTGGATCACAGATCTGCAGGAGGATGGGGAAGCAAACTACAAGCCGGTGGCGGAGAGCTACAGGAGGGGGCAGGACAGCAGGCTATGAGGGGGACGGGAGAAGCTGTAGGAGGGTGGGGCAGCAGGCAGAGAGGTACAGGAGAGTGGCAGCAACCTACTGGTGCATGGATTCATACGCAGGGCTACTAGTTTATATATAATAGTACATAGTGTACCCTGAGAAAACGTTAGCTGCAATTATTTAAGAAAAAAATTCACTTCATTTCTTAGAGCAGTTTTAAGTTCACAGAAATATTGAGCAGCGTGTACAGAGTCCCAATACACTCCCTGTCTCCTCTATCAATGGCCCACCATCAGAGTGGTACCTGATTCTATTGATGAGCATTCATTGACACATCCTTATTACCCAAGGTCTATAGTTTACATCAGGGTTCACTCTTGGTTTTGTTTATTCTGTGAATTTTGACAAATGGCATGTGTCCAGTATTGCGGTAACATACAGAATAGCTTCACTGCCCAAGAAATCCCTTGTATTAATATTAACTACCCTCTAATATTGCTTTTAAGTCCATATTCAAATTAGTGACTAGTGTAGTGTTTCCAAGTAGAGTGGTCTGCTTTAATAGAGGGAAGGTGGTGGTGGGAGCACTGCAGACAAGGAAGCCGGAAACTGTTGTACCTCTGCCAGCTGGGTGGTCTTGGGTGATGGGGCCTCACCTTGGTTTCCTTCTGTGTAAGGTGAAGCAGTTCCCGGGTGACCTCTAAGGGGCTGCTACCTCTATCATTTACTAGCAACTCAAAACAGGAATGTGTCCTCTGCCATCTTGCTTACATTGCTGTTTTATAGAGCAAAATTGTCAGTTTTGGAAAATATCACATTAGTGCATGTTGCTTCAGTGAGGTTTATAAAGTCCATGGGGTGTACTGTTACTAGTTGTTATTACTGATAGTGAACATGAAAAATTGACCCAGTCACATGCGCAAGGCAGAAGGCCAGGTACTGCCACGGATGCAGAAGTGAATGACATCATTAATGTGTTCCTAACACTCAGGATCTTGATGTACCTGAGCCCTTTTCAAAAGAGGCTCATGCACAGCGGCTCTTTTGCCCTCATTTTAGCCGTGAGATATATGGGTAAACTTTATGACCTCCATCTAGTAAGTGAATATAAATATTGTTAAAATCTTAGTGAGTTCAGTGATTGGGAGGAGAAGGGAGGGACCTGGCCAGAGCACATGCTACATTTGAGATGTTCAGTATTTATTTAGCAAATCCATGTATGAATGACAAGAGCATATAAAGAAACTTGGTCATTGGTTCTTGAATCACTCCTGGTGAAAGGGAAGATTCAGTAGAGAGGACATTCTATCCTGTGGCCATATTATGAATAGCCTGGGTGCCTGCCCGTTTGTGTCTGCAAAGGGGCATTTTTAGAGGAGAGAGGGAATTCTATTTTATAATATATTTTATTGAGTTTTTACAGAGAGGAAGAGAGAAGGATAGAGAGTTAGAAACATTGATGAAAGAGAAACATCGATCAGTTGACTCTTGCACACCCCCTACTGGGGATGTGCCCGCAACCAAGATACATGCCCTTGACAGGAATCGAACCCGGGACCTTTCTGTCCGCAGGCTGATGCTCTATCCACTGAGCCAAACCGGTCGGAGAGAGGGCATTCTTCTGCCCATTCCATTGAGAAGGACTTGCAGACAGGAGCTCAGCCCAGCCATGGCCATAATGGTCGAGTGGCCTTGTGTCTGCCGCTCTGCCGCTGCACGCCTCTCCCTGTGGAGGGAGGTGTAGGGTCGCTCTGAGGCAGTCACCAGGGCGGTCAGGAGAGGCTGACCTGGTTGATAACTGTATTCAGCGTTAACTGTGGACTTCTTTCCTGCTGTTTGCTTGAAGTGTGGGTGTGGGGAGGTGATAGGGTGTAGGGTCTGGCTTGCACTACAGATCGTCACAGTGTAATTACCATTCTAATGGGAATTTTATTTTTCTCTGAACAGTGGTGGAACGTCATCACTGGGGAGTCCTCACAGACCTTCTACACAAACGGAACCAACCTGATGAAAATACACGTGTCCCCTGACTTCAAGACATTTGTGACTGTTGATAATCTTGGTATTTTATATATTTTACAGACTTTAGAGTAAAATTGTTAAGCATTAATATAAGTCCAACTCTTAAATTTTGAATTGGAAAAAATTGTGATGAACTTTGTATTTCAACTTTTTATAAAGCTGTGAATTGTTTTACAGTATTGCATTCATTACAGAATTGTTTATGGTTTAAAGAATGAAACTAATGTAGCTTTCCCCCCAGTGAACACACCTTTAATCTTGTTTTTTAAAAATCATCATTATTTTTAACAATTTGTCTTTAAGATGCAAATGAAAATGTAAATACGTACCTTGTTATATACTATTGGTAAAATTCTCTCTTGATACATTCAAATTGGTTGACATAATTAATGAGGATAACTGGGAGGAAATATGTATTTTAATGCTGTCATTATGCGAGCTGTGCCTCAGAGTAGCAGTGGCCTGCTTTCTGAGCCACATTACCCCACCGGGGCATAGTTTGCCAAATACAACCTTGGAGCTTATTTGCACTCCTTAAATTAGCTTTAAAAATATTGTGTCTGTGAGCACAATTTGCAATATTTCCTTTAATTCACTACATGAGTGAGTCTTGGATTTCAAAATGCTTTCTGTGGAGTGAAAATTATGTGTTGAAGAGTTGATTTTATTGGTCTACCTTCCCTCACTAGTTGAGGACAGCCCGTGCCCTAATGGACTATCGTGGTCAGCCTCTGAGCTAGGCACTGTCCTGCTCTGTTTTGTTTGTTTTTTCCCACTGGTACATACCAGACCTTCCTTAATCTTCACTGTTTTTCTGTGGTTTGTTTTTTTTTTTTTTTTTTTTTTTTTTTTAAAGCAGTTGCTCTACAGTTAGATTGTAAACCAGATTGATTGGGAAGGAACCAATTTTAATAACAGAATTTTCCTAAGAAATATAGAATAGTAGAAAATCATTTTCTTCTAATTCCATTTATTTTTAAATGAATGGTAATGTCAGTGCTATTCTCTTAGTGAATTTAGGAGAATTCTCAGAACCAGAGTCATCAGGACTCTGGATGGTGTTCCCTTTGACCCTCAACTAGTCTGTCTTCCTTCCCTTCTCTCCTTACCTGCTTCCTTTCCTCCCTGCCTCCCTGGGAGGTTAATCTGAAAAGGTAGATTCTGACAGGGAAAAAGCACATCAGCATCAATAATTAGCTTTTTTGACCTCTTAATTAGGAACCTTAATTGCAACTTAAATCTAATCATTTCCCCAGAATTATATTGTTAAGGGATATGCTGGTAAATTAATGATAGATGCAGTTGCTACATAAAAAATAACCAAGGCTTACAAATTTATTGTTATAACAGGGACTAAATCAAATGAATATTAGTGTCAGTGGCAGGTATGCCATGAGCCAGTTTTTATTGTTATCACATAATAGGGTGGGCAGGAGGACTAGACCACTCCAGGTGTATTTTAGATTAGCTTTTCAGAGAACCATAAATAGAGTGAATAAAATCTTTTACATTTTTAAGGTGGTTCTTTTTTTTTTTTTTTTTAATAGGTTAAGGAATTTGTAATAGACTTAACTGCTTAACTGTGATTTAAGCAAATGTGATGTGCTGTCTTAATTTTATAAAAGAAATTTATGTAAATAGCATGTTCTGCTTAGAGTATCCTCATCAGAATTTTATCTGCATGCAATGTTTAGGAACTTGTTTGTAGCTCAGAGTGTAAAGTATTAACTTTTGGAATTGAACTCACTTGACTGTTAAAGTATAACAACTAACATCAGCTCTTAAAAGCCCTTGATGGCCTGTGTCTTAAAAATAAATTAAGAAGGAAAATGAAAGAAAGACTAGGTGACATGAGGGATGAGGAGAAGCTGGGAGGATGCAGCTGCAGGTTTCATGGCAGCTCAGGTGGTCAGTCCAGGGGAGGATGTTGCTTTGTTCTTGCAGATACGCATTTTGCCCTGCTTTTTTATTTCATTTTTTTTTGTATTGGAAATTACATTGCATTTTATAAATATAAAGATTTTTTTTACATTGTAAGTGTCTTGTATGTTTTGTATCTATGGTACAGTTTACATGATGTTTTTTTTTTGTCTTTGGTATACATTTTAATACATGAAATAGAAAATTTATTATAAAAATAAAATTCCAAAAAATATTTTTGGAAAACATGTTTCATACTCCTTGCTTGTCCTTTGTAGATTAGAAACAAATGTGAAGGATTCTTCAAACCAAATCAACAATCTTCTGATGAAGCATTATCAGCTCTGTGTAATTCACTTCTACCAAAATTTCTGTCTCCTCAGTCTGTCTGATCGCTGAAGTAGCTGGCCTGCAGAAGATCCTGTAAAGGATAGAATTCATCTATTCATTCTTTCATTCAGTAAATATGTATTGAGATCTACCATGTGTACCTGGCATATTTGTAGGGAGATAGCAGTGAGCAAAACAAAGTCCTTGCCGAACTTCAGTTGGAGGCTAGGGAGAGGTGGGCAAAAAGTAATAAGTAAAAGCATTAGTGTATTAACTGTAATACTGAGTGTACACGGGTAAGGGAAGGGTTACTGTTTTAGATGGAGTTGTTATTGAGAAGATGACACGAGTACAGGCCTGAAAGATGAGGGGCTGAGCCATGCAGGTGTCTGGAGAGCAAGCAAAGGCCTGAAAGTGGGATGGGTTGGTCTGTTTCAGAACCGGGAGGAGGTTAGTGTGGCCGGAGGAGTCGGGTGAGGGGAGTATAATAGGAGTGCACTGTGGAGGGCTCCAGAGGTTCGAGGAGCGATTGAACTGTGCAGCATCTGCCTGAAGCTTTAACTTGATCACTCTGGCAGTGGGAATCAGCTGAAAGGCAAGGGCAGAAGCAAGGAGACCAATGAGAAGCTTTTGCAATAATCTGGGCAAAATGAAGGTGGCCGGTCTAGAGCAGCAGCAGTAGAGGTTGTGATAAATTAGATTCTGGATATAGTTTCAAGATCAGAGTTAATGGAGTAGATAAAGGTTGTGAGCAAGACAATTCCAGAATGACACCAAGTTTGGGCTTGTGTGGCTTGAGCAACTGAGATAAGACAATGAAAGGAGTGGGTTTTAGACATAGTACATTTGAAGTGATTATTCGGCATTCAAGTGGAGATGTTGAGTAGCTGGTTGGATAAAAGGGTCTGGAGCTCATGAGAAAAATCTATGATGGAGATAGAAACCATGAGAGTCGTCATGACTCGTGACACTTGGAACCACAAAACCAAAAGAGTTCAGCAGCAAAAAGCATGTCCAGGAGGCCCGGGACTAAGTCCAGGTTGGTGAGCTGAGGAACCAGCACAGGGGCAGAGAAGGACCAGCAAAGACTAAACATTGCAAGTTAGTGTGGTAAGTGTAGTGAATACAGTGGGTGTGGGAGAAGGAGCCTTGAGCTAAATTCCTTTATTAGTTTGTTCATTCAGGCACCTATCTATCATATGCCTGGAGGGTTTACCGTGTGCCAAGCACTATTTTAAGCAACAGCCAAGGAAATAAATAAATACATTTTAGTTGCTGGGGGGAGATTAGGGATAATCCTATATAATAAAAGCATAATATGCAAATTGACCGAAAGGAGGAATGACCAGTCACTATGATGTGCACTGACCACCAGGGGGCAGATGCTCAACAGAGGAGCTGCCCCTGGTGGTCAGTGTGCTCCCACAGGGGGAATGCCGCTCAGCAGAAGACGGGCTCATGGCTGCCAAGCTCAGCGGTGGTAATGGGAGCCTCTCCCGCCTCCACTGCAGGTGGGCAGTAAGGAGCCAGAGGGGTCCTAGATTGCAAGAGGGTGCACATCCCCCCCAATGCATAAATCTCATGCCTCTAGTAGCTAATAAGAAAACAAGAAGATACAGCAGCCGTCTTACCTGTAAAATGCCTCTCAGGGTTGTTGTAAGGATTCAGTAAGGTAATGCTCATGAAGTATTTATCTCGGAGCTTGGACCAGTGAACAACGTTTGCCATTATTTGGGCCCCATTATTTGCCTGGCAACAGGTCCCCAACTTCCATCTATGCATTAGTCCTGCCCCCTGCGTGATTTTTACCTCTTTAAAACCCTGGGCCTACTGTGTGCTCTCTTGTTTCCGTGTTTTTGTATACAGTGCTCTCTCTTCCATACTGCCCCTCTTCCCCCTATTTTTTTCTCCTAATTCCTTCTTATTCTTCATATATTCTTTGAGGTTACCTCTGTAGCGCCCTCTTTTCTCTTACATGACTTCTATTGCCCCATGTTGCTTACTTATTGGAGTCCCCCATTAGGTTGGGAGCTCCATGAAAGCTGGGTCTCTATCTTTTATACCAGAGAGCACATAATCCTGGCTCCCATCGGAGCCTCCGGAAGTATCTGAATGAGGGAAGCCCCTGCTGGCCCGCCCGCCCAGAGCATGTGCCGTGTTCTCTCTGCATTAGGGTGCCACGGGCTGTCAGATTAAGATGCAGCACTTTCTTTGCCTTCATTTTCCACCAGCATTTTCTTTGCCTTCCCGGGTTAGTTTGACATTTCACTGTGAAGCAGCATTAGGGAAAAGTAAAACTTGCCGAAACCGGTTTGCCTCAGTGGATAGAGCATCAGCCTGTGGACTGAAGGGTCCCAGGTTCGATTCCTCGGTCAAGAGCATGTACCTCGGTTGCAGGCACATCCCCGGTGGGGGATGTGCAAGAGGCAGCTGATCGATTATTCTCTCTCATCAATGTTTCTAACTCTCTCTCCTTCTCTCTTCCTCTCTGTAAAAAATCAAAAAAATATATATATAAAAAGAAAAGAAAAGAAAAAAAACTAAAACTTGTTTGGATAGAAAAGATTTGCTTCCAAATTATATGAAATGAATAAACATATCCCCAGAGTGTTTAGGTTGGCAATTATGGCAACCTATGACTCAGCAAATGTTCTGTGTTACCATAATTTACTTACCGACTTTTAGAGAAGGAGAAAATGGTTTTCTTATCATTCTTAATCTCCGAGGATAGTCACAGGAATAGATTTTCTTGTCCACAAACCCTCTCCATAAGACTACAGATGTGTGGTTATTAACATTCGCACCTTAGGAAATCAGCTGCTGTTGGGCTGTGAGCTCAACCACAGAATTGTTGTGTAGTTGTGTGCTCGTGCGTGGAAGGGGCACAAGAATTTGCATCAAACCTGGGACTCCTCAGAGACCAGGCTTTTGAAGTCATTTTGGCATCAACAGCGACTGGCTTCTGAATCAGATCATGTTGTGAGGAGACCAAAAACTAGGATATTTTCATTTCAATTATGATTCAGGAAAATGAGTTGCTGTTATTCATTGTAAATTCACTCCTGAGGTCAGGCCCTCAGAACAGAGAATACTGCTTATCCCACAGAAGTGGAGAGAATAACCTGCCTCTGCGATTTCCCATCACTCAAGGCTGGAATCAGAAACCAGAGAGAGCATTCCAAGCCCGAGTGTGTGCCTGGTGGTTCTGAGCAGCAGATCAAACTGGGAAACACCCAGCAGGTGAGTGAAATGCCTGCTTAGGACCCAGGTGGCTGGCTGCTCAGAGCTGGAGCAAATGTTCACATTCATCCAAGCAAATCTTCATCACCTCCCCACTCAGGGCACTGCCCACCCTAATTTTATTAAAAAATTTTTAAAAAAAAATTCATTTCAGAGAGGAAGGGAGAGGGAGAGAAAGATAGAAACATCAATGATGAGAGAGAATCATTGATCGGCTGCCTCCTGCACACCCCTCACTGGGGATTGAGCCTGGAATCCGAACATGTGTGCTGATTGGGGATTGAACTGTGACCATTTAGCCACACTGGCTGGGCCCAACCCTTAGTTTATCTTCACAGTAGTTAACGAGTGGATCTGCAGACGAGTGGATCTGCAGACGATGCAATTGCAGTTTATAGAGGAAGAACCACACCCCAGGCAGTTAATCAGTGTCAAAGCCAGGGCCAGATTACAAATCTGATTTTTTTTCTTTCTTCAAATAAACATGTAAGTCTATTTAGCAAATCACAGAGGTAGAAAAAGTGAGCCAGCTGGGTGCGTGGGCTCAGGAAACAAGTTACAGAGGCCCATAGAGCTACTAGTAGGAGAGAGAGGGTTGATTTGTTCGGTATAGAAAGACCCAGACCACTGGGCTATAGGCAGAGTGTCAGTTGCAAATGGAAGTGGAGTCCTTTTGTGTCATGGACACCTGTGTCGGGGTTAGCTGGAGAATGCATTGGAGACCTCGTTCTCATGTTGGATTCATCTTCAGCTAGCAGGGGTTCTCAACCCTTCACCCTGGGTTTATTTGCCTGTGAATGAAAAAAAAGTTCTAGGGAAAGTAACCTCACGGGGTGATCTGATTATAAATTCCTCCCTGGGCAGGTCTGGTGGGCAACCATGCCCCAGGCATCTAGCTTTTTAGCAAAAGATTTATTTTTGCTGTAAGCAAGCCCTCTCCATCGCTTCTGTGCACCTAGGTTTCAAGAGAGCACACAATCTTTATTTTTAAAAAAATGTATTTATTTTTTACAGAGAGGAAGGGAGAGGGATAGAGAGCTAGAAACATCGATGCGAGAGCAACATCAACCAGCTGCCTCTTGCACACCCCGCAACCAATGTACATGCCCTTGACCGGAATCGAACTGACGCTCTATCCACTGAGCCAAACCGGTTTCTGCGAACACATAATCTTAACGATGCTGTAATCCAGGAAGGCTCTGGGTCAAAAGACTATCTGATAGTCTTTTGCTTTCTCCCACTCTCATGTACTCTTCCTTATGTTCCCTCCTTAGTTTCAAATGCAAGCTGCAAGATTGTTATTCTCCAGAGCATTTGAGGCCTCGCTCCCCAGCATATGTTGTCAGTGTGACTCAAAGAAACTCAGAGGAAAATTCTCTATAGGTTTGGACGTTTCTTATGTCGACATGCTCCATTCTGTCAAGTAACGTTCTGAGATAATACATCATTTTTAGGAGGAAGGAAGGAAGGGGGAGCTAGTGCTTTTTTACAGGCTTTTATGTGTCAGGTCCTGTACTGGACGCTTTGACTCATTTAAAAATTTTTTAATGGTTTTTATTGATTTCAAAGAGGAAGGAAGAGGGAGAGAGTGAGATAGTAACGTCAATGAAGAGAATCATTGATTGGCTTCGGCATGACTCCTACTTGGGATTGAGGCCAAAACCTGGGCATGTGCCCTGACCCAGAATTAAGCTACCAACTCCTGGTTCATAGGTTGATGCTCAAGCATTGAGCCACCATGGCTAGGCTTTCACATATTTAATTTTTACCCCCTATTTAGGATTGGCCAGTGAGCTGGAAGTGGAAGTTCGTGGTGAAGCTTCCAGGAAATACGTTTTGCTTTGTTTGGGA